GACGTCACATCTGTCGGTTACCAAGGCGACGGGGCAATCATCGATTTCTTTCCGCCGCCTCCTATGTGTGTATAATATACCTTATTCTCCGGAGCTAAAGCTTTTTTTTTTTTCGTCGCTTTTATAGGATTAATAATCCCGGCGATTTACTTTATATAACAATTTAACCGTTATACTAATTTACTAATTTCATTCGTATATACCTAAAGCGTCGCCGATCGAGTGAGGCGTCGGTAAATTCGAAAAAAATAATAATAATAACCTCAATTCTAGTTTTGTAATTGTTTCAAATATACACTGAAAAAAAAAAAGTAAAACCGTACGACGAGCGCGCAACGTAATTATTATTTTTTTTTTTTGTATTAGTAGATGCAAAAAAAATTGACCTACCGCAACGACGTGAAGCGCCGACATAATAATTCCGATTCCGATTCGGAATCGGAATCGAAACTCGAACCTCGAACCCAAAGACCAAGACCAAAAGCCGAGTAAATTATGTATACATAATACATACACCTATGTATATATATATATATAGATAGATATCGGTCGTTTACGGCGTAGTAAACCGTACAATTTGCGTGTTTCAATTTACTGAAAGGCCGTGAGGGGGGAGAAGAGGGAGGTGGAAGAGTAGAAGGAGGAGAGAGAGAGAAAGAGAGAGAATCGAAATCGACCGGGCGACCTCTCTAGCGACGTCTACGTGCATTCGATTATTCGAATTCATCGCTACAATCCACACATATGTAATTTTAAATCACCTGTCGAAAGCACAATTCGTCCATTTTAAACCCACAACTAATTTACATCGAATTAGTCCAAAAGCCACCGGACTATACATCACATATAGTTCGTTCGCTTTAAACCGAGAATGACGTCACGAAGCGTTTCGTTAGCGCCTCCTGTGTAACTTTAGAGCGACTCTAACTTGTCTTTAACTTGACAGATTCGCATATTGTTGTTACGGATTAACTATAGGGACTCGAAACGCGACTTTACAGCCACTCTAAAGTGAAACAGAGGCGCTAAATAAGGACCATAGAGTATATAGCACGAATCGCCCAGACTATAACAACATATAATGCGTTCGTTTTAAAACGATTACGACGTCACACTTGGGGGTTAAGTTTCGCATATACGCTCAACAGGTGTATTTTTTTCGTTTCGTTTTTCATTTCTAATTGCGACAATTTAAAGTCTCCAAATGCGATCGCATTTTTGCACGACAATCGAAGGCGGCCGATTTAGATGCGGGGGAGAGTGGGGGAACGCGTGTCGTATGAATGAAACGAACGTAAATATACCAAACTACTCGACGCCCGACGAATCGATTTGCACGAGAGAAACTAAAACCGAACAGACGGTATAAACGTTATCTAACGCGAGTTGGTTTTTTTTTGCTTAATCTAAAACGAAACGTTATTGTGCATTTATTATCGCGATGCGTTTTGTGAATGAGAGCAATTTCCCGCGCTCTCTCGTATACAACGATTTTTTTTATATATATAGAGCCCGACAGGAAATGACGTCGCAATCACGGTCTCGAGAGTAGCCATCATTTCCTCGATTAGATAAGAGTCTGGTTTTCATTCACTATATACCAGTAAATACATCAACGAAAATTACATTGCAGCCTTTTACTGTTACACCATTACGACCACATGGAAACTACTACACACACACACACACACACACACACACACATAAATTAATAAATAAAAAAACGGGTGAAAGGGAACTGGTACTTGGATAATTCCAGTAGGCATTGAATAGGATATTCCAGGAAAGTTTGAGAATAGTGCAATATACTCAAGATCAACAAGATGGCCTACAAGATGGCCCGATTTAACCCCAATAGACTGTTTAGAATACAGTCGATTTCCGTACAATGAAATTGAAATCAAACAATACAAAATCGACGCCCGTGAACTTGACAAAAAGAATAAAAACACACACACATACACATAATACCAACGTAATTTTCCCGCCAAAAAAAAAAATCGAAGGTCGCCCGGTTAAAACGCACCGGCCGATGCGTAATTTCGAGAGAGAGAGAGTCGAGTTTTCAAAGAGAATCCTCTCGGTTTAGTTTAAAGCGGCGGGCCATTTAATAACCTTGAACGTGATCGGGGGCTCCGCCATTTTGCCGGGGCCGTAAAAAATAATAACGAAACTCCGACCGTCTCCCACGGATTTTCTTTCTACGAACATCAAACCAAGGTTCGCTCGGCATCGGCGAGCACGCGATTCGCATTAAAAACGCCTCACAGTTCGATGGACTTTTATTAACAAAAAAAAAACTCAATTACATTTCTACACTGAATTCTAAGAGCATATGGTAAGACCTATCAGCCCAAAATCTCGGTAAATGCGATTCTAACCTCTGTTATAATCTACAGATAAAGGTTAAAATCGCATGTACTGTCTCTTACAGATTTCTTCTGATATAAATCTTACGGATGCTTGTCATAATTCATTACAAAATTTCAAAAAAAGTGCTCGATAAAATTTCTCAAGTTGATAACTAAAGCGAGTCTTGTAAGATGCACATACAAGAGAAACTAATACCAGTAATAATGTGAATATAGAAGTATGAGTGTAGGTATATTTTACGATGGCTGTGCGCGAGAGTCAACGGCCTTGCACGTTTCGGTTATGCAACCAACCCCGACGCGAAGTTTCTATTCAAGAAAATCGCGGTTCGCATACCGGACATGCCGATGCATGCGCCTATAAAATGGTATATTGATAGGCGTTCCCAAGTACAATTCTACGACATTCTGCGTGAATAAAAGCGATCCGTTTTCAATCTAAATATTATAAGCGACGATTGTTGCATAAATAGAGGTTGTTTAGATAACTAAATACCCCTTTAACGAAATATATTGAAACGGGGCCATTTTATCTACCCCCACTTTCTCCTAAGCGAATCGAAATTTACTGGAATTGTTAACTATTCTACCTGCCCCGCTTACTCCTAAACGAATTTAATAAATACGATTGGAATCGCATCATTTTATCAACCCTACTCTCTCCTAATTTAATCGAAATTTACTGGAATTGTTAACTAATCTACCTGCCCCACTTACTCCTAAGCGAATTTAAAAAGTACGACTGGAATCGCGTCATTTTATCTACCCCACTTTCTCCCAAACATTTCTACGCTACATCATAAACTAAATTCATACGTAAGTAAAAGAATGGGAAAGACATGTCGATTTCCTCTTCCTTTTTCGTTTTTTCTTATTCAGCGAGAGACCACGCGAATTCGCCCACGCCGTTTTCTTACGAGGGGGCGTCGATTTTTTTTTTTTTAATTTGCCCCCTTCGCTCGATCGAAACGCTCGCAACGCCTCCGCCTCTGTGGTAAACCATCAATATCTCGAATTCGAAATGCCGTTAGGTCGAAAAAAATCGCAAAAATATCACACCTAATCTAGATCTAGTGCAATTTTTTTCGTCCACAATTAACTCGGAAAAAAAAAAAAACTCTCGTCTCAACTCAACAGAGGAAATACGAGGGGCATTCGATAAATACAGTTAGTGGTATACGAGGGGCGTTCGATAAATACAGTCGGTGGTATACGAGGGGCGTTAGATAAATACAGTCGGTGGTATACGAGGGACGTTCGATAAATACAGTCGGTGGTATACGAGGGGCGCTCGATATGCAATCGAACAAGCAATCGCCTAATCTAGATCTAGAGCAATTTTTTTCGTCCCCAATTAACCCAAAAACAAAAAGTCTCGTCTCAACTCAACAGAGGAAATACGAGGGGACGTTCGATTAATACAGCCGGCGGTATACGAGGGGCGCTCGATAAATACAGTCGGTGGTATACGAGGGACGTTCGATTAATACAGCCGGCGGTATACGAGGGGCCTTCGATAAATACAGTCGGTGGTATACGAGGGGCGCTCGATATGCAATCGAACAAGCAATCGCCTAATCTAGATATAGAGCAATTTTTTTCGTCCCCAATTAACCCCAAAACAAAAAGTCTCGTCTCAACTCAACAGAGGAAATACGAGGGGGCGTTCGATAAATACAGTCGGTGGTATACGAGGGACGTTCGATAAATACAGCCGGCGGTATACGAGGGGCGCTCGATATGCAATCGAACGAGTGCACTTTCGAAGAGCGCGTAGGCGCCGAAAATAATCGAGTTTCACGGCGAACCGTCCGCGGTTTTTATTTACGGTTATACCGGTGCGAAAATGAAGTTTGCGCCCGGTCTCTCTCTCTCGTTCTCGTTTCGACCTAGACACTTTTTTTTACGAAACCTAAACAACGCAACTCGTACACACACACACTCGTATAGTGTGTATGTGTCTAGACGGTGCGCCCGGTTTAGAAATTCGCATCGCGCCGGTTATTTATAAAATAATAATTTATATATACGAACCGGGCGGGATCGAGTAGGCGCGATTTTTAATTGACGAGTTTTCAAGTCAGTTGGCGAGAAATAGCTACGGGGGGAAAAAAAAGCGAACAATTTTTTCATCGATCGGACGACCTACCTCAACGCGGCGATTTGATCGAAAATCGAGTTACTCAAAATTTCGAACCGTTTATTTTTTTCTTCTTTCGTATATAAGTAAAGTAATGGGAGTTATACACCGGCCTTACTCGCAGTCGAAACCTCCAAACTAGGTCAGGGCGTTTCGCGTTTCGCATTTCGCATTTCGCCCGGTTAAATACTTAAAAACTTCTTTCACGGCGGGGCCGTTTTACAGCCGATGGGGAACCCCCCCCGAAGGGACTCTCATATGGCCTTTTACGTGGTACGCCGCACGTTAAAACTTATAGAAAGTGGCCGGCGAACAGATGCTTGTAAATGGGAGTAAGTAAGTACAATCGCAAAGACACGAGTAGGCCGGTTAGTTTGAATTACAAATTAAAGGGCTTTCAAAAAAAAAAGTTCCCGCGGCGTTGCCACATCGCCGCTTTTTTCCGCATATATATAGAAAAAATAAAAAGAGTGTAAAATGACACTAACCTTGCTCAATTTCTCGCCCTCGTGGTGCGGCAAAAGCGACCTGAGCGATTGGAAACCGTTGTTGATGCTCTGCATGCGCCGCCTCTCGTTGCTGTTGGCTATTTCTCGGCGCATCCGCTTCTCCTGCTCCATCGTCGCCGTCGGCGGCTCGCCGCCTTTGTTTATCCTACTAGGAACAAAAAAAAAACGATAACAAACACATTATACAAACGTTAAAAACGTTTAAAAAGGGTTACCAAGAATGCAAACGTCAAATATCGACGGGTGACATTTGACGGGTGACAGATGGCATATTACAATTGACAGATGACGGCTGATAAAACGCGCTTATAGCAAATTACGATTGACCGCTGGATGATTAACTGTTGATAACCGACAGATAGCAGACCATAATTGATAGATGACAGCGCGAAGATTGACAAATTGTGATTGACGGATCACCGACGTTACTCGTATTGACAGGTACAAATACAAATACAAATACAAATACAAATACAAATATTTATTTCTCATAAGTTTTTACAGGAATTCCTAAGAATAATCTATAGTGCTCTATAAAAAGTTACAAGATGTGTCAAAATAACAGCTGGTAACAGCTGGTATTGAGATATTCGACAGGTGACATCTTCTATAATTGACAGAGGCGATGGCACAGACAATTGACGTTTAGTTCGATCGGTTTTCTCTTTTATAATCGATAAATTGCAGGCTAAGAAAGCGAACAAAGATATAGTTCAAGTGTCAGACCACCCTCGTCGAATGCTCGATAACACAAAACCGCTTATATAAAATTAAATGAACTTGTTAAAAAGTTTTTTTTCTAAATATCGATTGATCGCATTTCGAAGTTTTACATACACGTACACCTTACTCCATTACCGATTGCAACATGGTCACTTCTATAAGTGGAACAAAGATTGTTAAAATGACAGCTGTCAGAGTGAAAAGTTGCAATGACGCAAACGTCACTCTTTGCTTTTTCTTTTGTAAGTGTCTAATGTAAGTTGTCTTTATCGCACTTCTAGCCTATATATAACCTATGTTGCGATCAAAAATGGAGCAACCTGTATAGGTAATACACACGGCTTATCTAGAATAATATGGTTAGAAATACACAGAATCGTGGAACGTTTGGTTATACATATACGCAATGTTTATCGAACTCACGAGGTCTTATCAATCAGCTGTTATACTGTTTTGCATAATATCTGAGTGTTTGCGTAAGCTTTTAGCGAACGAACCAAAAAAATATATCATCACTAACGTTAAATTTTACACCTAAATCGCAACACCCCGTAAACATGGTCATTTCTATGAGTGGAACAAAGAAATATTATTAAAATGACAGCTGTCAGAGTGAAAAGTTGCAATGACACAAATGTCACTCTTTGCTTTTCCTTTATAAGTTGTCTTTATCGCACCCATTGCCTATATAACCTATGTTGCGATCAAAAATGGAGCAACCTGTATAATCGAAAAGGTTATAACGAATTTTCGGAGCGATTTTTTATTCCTACAAAAAATCCCTTTACTATAATTTTATAAGCGACCTCGTTCACACACCGCGTGCAACATTTTCAAAAAAATATATCCTAAGAAATGGTGACGTATCTAGGTCTCAAAAGGAGTTTAATTAATATTAAAACGCTAGATTATCGGCTTATAAGGCGATCGGATGTCAAAACGTTCGATTGAATTATGCCCGAGAAGTTACTTCATTTCGAAAATTATAGTGCAACAACGAGCGCGAAAAGTCTATAAATAAATCGCGTTCGAACGAATTATACAGGTCGTCCCCCTTTCGAATTCCTATCTACAATACAAGTATATAGCTAGAGACGCTAGAGTAAAATTTGGTACCCCGGTTGGTACCCCAAAATTCGACCGTGACCTTTTTAATAATCCCCTTTATTGTAAGTAGAAGACACACACCTGTCCCGTTTCCCCGCTCTTTTATCTCATTCTCGACGACTTCCACTTTGTTTTTTTCTTCTTCTTCTTCTTCTTCTTTTTTTATCGCCGTGTTGTAGAAGAGACCTTCCGTTTGTAAATTCGTTTACGAAGCGGAAACGGACCATCGAAGGGTTCGTTTGTTGTATTTACTTATTTATATACGAGGGGGGTTCGCTTGTAAAATTTCCGCCGGTATTTAAATTACACATACATTTCGACGCGTTTATCTCGAAAAAAACCTGCTATAAATATCGAGAAGGTTACGTAATCTAGTCGTATTTCGTTATCAGTCAGCTGGCGCGTTGCTCGGGGTCAAGATATTTACGAATAAACAACACGATTTAAATTATTCGAGGCGCCTCGTATGCATTGAATGTTCGAGTGTATTATTTTTAGTCGAAAGCAAAAGCGTTTTTACGTATGAATTATTAAAATCCGATCGATAATAAACTGGTAAAAAGTCACGAATATGTAACGTTACAGAAAAAAAAAAGAAACGCCCAAAACTCGCATATATCGATCCGTATTTTATGTATTTTCGAACACGCGGGATTAACGACCCCTTGAATAAATCGACTATCCCTCGTACATACATATACAAAAACGACCCCTTAAAATAACCGCCCACTTTTTCTTCCTTTCTACCAATCATTTACATCACAAAAGCGCCATTTCCTCTGTAAAATCCGCGCTAAAAAAAAAAAATTAAGAACCTGTTTTCAACACGTTCACCGCCACATTTCTCGCTATATTATATAACCCCTTTTCTTAAACGCCTCTTCATTAGGTATTCATCCGATAAATTATTCAGCCAGTCGGGGAAAAGTTGCCGGATCGAATAAATTAGTAAGTACATCCGGAAACTTTTCTTCGAAAACAAATTCGATTTTTTCGTTCGAGATTTAAAAAAAAATATTTTGGGTTGACCGCATAAACGACGAGTCGAAGGCCAGGCAGGTAGAGATAGAAAAGGTGTTTTCGTCGCTCGACAACGGCCAATTAACTCGAAACCGAACGCCAGGATATATCCAATTATTTCGATATTACATCAATTTACCCGAAATTAACAAATATCTCCGATTTCCACGAGAACTACAAAAAAAAAAAAATAACGCGCACAATTCGTACAAGATTTGTTATCGAGATAAAAAGATAACGCAAAACTAGTACATGTAATCGAGAAGGCCATGAGTAAAAATCAAACCAACTAGATTTCCACATCAACCAACAATCGCGTAGGCCCTGTATAAACGTAGAAAACGCGGGTAAAATGTAACATTTTTCGATCACACACAAAAAAAAAACCTTCCCGTTTTCGGGGTCATCGGTTTCAATGCGTAGTAAATGTATCGATTTTTTGGTGGAAAAACCAGAGGGCGCTGTCACGTCATCTGGTCCGCTTCCCGGTGCGTATAAATAACATTGAACCCTCTCCGAAATTCCGGCGCTACCTCGACAATCAGCTGATCTCTAAAACTCCGTTTTATATTTTATTTTTCTTCTACATACACATCTAAATCTCGAGATATATTCCACATAGCGACAGCTGGTGTACAAACAAAACGCGCGCACCCACCTCTTCTATACCCGGGAAGAAAAGAAGAGAGAAAAAAAAAAGAAGTGTAATAATAGAGCAAGGATCTTTTGAATCACCCTCAGGTATATAAATGTATAACAATGCGTTTGCACCGTGAGAAAAGATAAATGACGTGTAAGCGTCTCAAGTTATTCGATTAGGTCTGTAGGTAACAATTTCTACAAGCGCCATCAAACGCACTTTAGACCTTATTAGGTAAGGAAAAAAAAAATAATAATTAGTAAGCGCATAATTTCGACGCCGAGCGAATAAACAATAAACCAATAAGGTTGCCTATTACTTTACGGTTTTACGGGGTAACGAATCGTGTTTCTATTATAACATTATTTCGAATCGGCTATAACCGATGATTATGTTTTACGTTTGCACAGCGGGAAGGCCGTCGAAGGTGATTACGTTTTATTTATACTTGCGCTCTCTCTCTCTCACTCAATGTGATTCATCTTTGATCGGTTACATTGTTTTTTGCAATAGAGAAATATATCGTATAGAGTTCCATATATAACCGTTATAACGTTCAATACAGTCCCATCTCTACGCGCCGTTATCGCGACGTTATATTAATGAATTAACGACCGATTCTCGGTAATTTATTTATAGACGGTATAATGAACGTATAGTACTTGGAAAATTGAAATAAATAATACAAAAAACCTGCGTGTATACACAAAAATAACGTAACGCGATATAGCGGTTGCGAAACGGTTACGGGGTGTTGCGAAAAAATTAAGTAACAAGGCCGTCGAGATAAGAGCGAAGTTGTAAGGTACGCTTTATATTCGCTAAAAATAAATAAAGCCGACCATGCACTGTAAAAATGCAACTTTTACCTACAGACACAATTTGATCTATTGCGATTTATCGATCGAACAAAACCGGCGTTTGATCGCAATTCGCACGACAAATATTTGACGTAGATAGGATATTGCGTTACGTTGGAATTGCGGAGAAGCTCCGAAGCGAAGCGAAAAAAGAAAAATAAAAAAAAATACTGTGTTACGCCACTGACAAATCCGCAGGTAAAAATGATGTTATCATACTTATTATCGTTATAGAGACGATTGGATAACGAACAGGGCGATTTGGTATCTACCTGTATATTAAACTCACAATTCAACAATTCGCTCTACTCTACTCTAGTTTACTCTACCCTACTCGAATCTACTCTACTCCACTTACAAACCTATTTTGCATCTACCTGTATATCAAACTCACAATTCAACAATTCGCTCTACTCTACTCTAGTTTACTCTACCCTACTCGAATCTACTCTACTCCACTTACAAACCTATTTAGCATCTACCTGTATATCAAACTAACAATTCAACAATTCGCTCTACTCTACTCTAGTTTACTCTACCCTACTCGAATCTACTCTACTCCACTTACAAACCTATTTTGCATCTACCTGTATATCAAACTCACAATTCAACAATTCGCTCTACTCTACTCTAGTTTACTCTACCCTACTCGAATCTACTCTACTCCACTCACAAACCTATTTCGCATCTACCTTGTATATCAAACTCCCAGTTCAACAATTCGCTCTACTCTACTCTAGTTTACTCTACCCTACTCGAATCTACTCTACTCCACTCACAAACCTATTTCGCATCTACCTTGTATATCAAACTCCCAGTTCAACAATTCGCTCTACTCTACTCTAATTTACTCGAATCTACTCCACTCACAAACCTATTTTGCATCTACCTGTATATCAAACTCACAATTCAACAATTCGCTCTACTCTACTCTAGTTTACTCTACCCTACTCTACTCTACTCTATTCCCTCGTATGATCAACGCATTACATACACGACCACGACACCTTAAAACGTGTACAGGAACATCCCAACAACGTGATTCATCACGGTTGAATTGGGTTTCGGGGCGGGAGCGTTCACCATTCGTCAGCTGTTCACACGGATTCACAATCTCCCCCTCCCGACATTTCCGAATTTAACTATTCAATGTCACAACCATTCCGCTACGAACCAAAAAAAATAAACAAACAACAACCTCACTCGTTCGAAAAACTGTTTTTTTTTTAAATTCCATCTGTCACCTGTCAATCGATTTCGTTCGAATCAACGCTTCCTTTTTTAGTACGCCCTAAATGACGGGATGCGATGTATAAAACGAAAACGTACATCGTAGTCGACTGCGATGATAATAATAAATTACATCGTTATTATCCCGGAATGTAAACGTACAAAATATGCGCTCGTATGTTCGCAAAACCTATCCGTTTAAATGGAATTTAACGTAGGTCAGTGAAATCGTCGAATATCTAATTTCGCCGCGCCGGACGAGATAAATTAGCGCAAAACGTCAAACGTCAAATTTTTTCCCCGTTGACAGGTCGTGTTGTTTTTTTTTTTCTCCCAAAAAAAAAAAATCGAACGAGTTCCAAGTTCCGATGAGTAATCGAGATGCGATTCGAAAGGCGTGCGTGCATTTTCGGTAAATAAATATGGCGAGTGAAAGAAAGAGAGAGAGAGAGATAGAGAAACGGCCCGGCGGAATATACACACGCAGTCACACACACACACAAACGTAAATGTCGTGTGTGTGTGCATCGGGGGAAAAGTCAAAAACGTAAACGTCAAAATCATGTGCACGCGAGAATGAACCAAAGCGCGGTAAAAAAAAGAAAAAAAAACACACTAAAACAACCCGACGTGTACAACGTCGCTTACCTGGATATATCGTTCGACGAAGCCTCGTTCCTATCCGCACAGCAATCGTCGATGACGATTTCCTCGTTGGCGACGTACACGGACATATCACTCCCCCGGGGGTTCGGATTCCCGTCGGAACGCGCGCGTTCGCTCGCCACCACGCTCTTTTTGCGCTCGAATTCAACCCGCCCGCCGTCGTAATCGCACTTAATTCACTGAATAGCACGTCGGAGCGCGGGACGACCAACATACGCTACGCCTCGCAATAGTTTTCTGGTAGCGGCGTTTGGCGGGAAACAGCTGAGGCCAGGTCGACGCCGATGTAATATTCCTACGCCGCGGCATCGAAACTTCCGAATGCCGTCAAATCGACGGGGTGCCGTGGCGACGGGGCGGTTCGGGTGCGTTGCGACGCTACCGGCCGGTATCGTGTCGGATTTGCCGTCGCCGGTGGCGGTTTTCGGGTTCGGCGGCGGTTAATTCGTCGGGTACTATTTACGTCGCGGATGGTTCGGTCGACGTGAGTCGATCGTCCGTCTGCCAGCTGGCGGAGTTGGCCCCGCCCGTTTTAGTACGAGACCGAAGCGCTGGCTTGACTGCGTCCTTCCCGCCAACTCTGCCGCGCGCTCCCATAGTATCGAATGAAGCCTCTTTTCGTCTCTGTAATACCTCTACGTGTATTATACGTTTGTTGTACTCGCTACGATACGATACGATGCGGCTCTTCGAGCGCGGCAAAATTTACCCTTTCGTACCGAACGAAAAATAAACCTACGCTGACAGGTGACATTTAAACGCTTTTTAATCGTTCACAATCGATTTTTTTATTATCCATTATCATTCGTTTTAATCCTCGCGAATATAAAAGTGGGTTCCCTTTTATCGAACACGCCACTGCGCTTTCTTACTTACCTACGCAACTATACAAAAAGAAAAGGGACGAGATAAACTTTTGTGCAAACAGCCAGGTGGCCGATCCGCCCTGTAACCTTGAAAACTTCCTTTTGAAATTGTGAATAGCTTTGATATTTCGAAAGTTGTATTCATAGAGAAAGAAAGATATATTTTGTCTATGGTTGTATTAGCCCTTTATTCGAGCGTAAGAAATAAGAAACTTATTATTATTAATATTTAAATATCCATTACAAACGTCAGTGACGTGAAGTTGAAACATCTTCTTTTTTAATGAGTCATACGTTGGCCTTATACTTATACTCTTTGTCTATTACAATAATTGTCATCAAAATCAACATTTTTATCATGCGATATAACTAGAATGTATATAACATTCTATAATGTAGCAAAAGAAATAGAAGTAGTATCATTCTGTATTAATAAATAATTAATATGAAAGCGTTAAAATAAAACATTTGATTTAGAACCAAAGGTTGGTAACGCGAAACACCCTATTTCTTTACTTTATTCATTTTGTTCCTTTCATTAAAAATAAATTATATCCATTTTATGATTCCTAATTTACCATATTTAAAGCTTACATAACTCAAAAAACACCTCAAACACCCCAAAACTCTTCAAATCAAATGTCAAACAATGACACAGAACACCTTTAGTACAATGACATAAAACTAATATTACATAAAAAAAGAAGAAGTCAATGACATTAACATCTGTCGTTGACATTTAGTAAAATTAACAGTGGTGGGGTAACAGGAACACATTTATATTTTCAATCATTCGCGACTTCCAACCAAATTTTTGTGTGATAAAACGCCCGAGATTTCATTCTAATTAAAGATGTCGAACAACAACAGCTATCGCACTGTCTACGCGTTCGCCAGGGAGATGTACCCCAAGAAGAAGGACTCGTTTCTGCAATATGGAACAGCGGGATTTCGAACTAAGTGAGTCACTTTTATTTTCCCCCGATAAATCCCAACAGAAAACCCTAACAAATAAATGCGTATTCCCTTTGCAGAGCCACCGAATTGCATCACGTAATGTATCGCATGGGTTTATTAGCTGTACTCAGGGCAAGGTACAAAAGAGGTAAATTTTCCCGTTTTATTTGTAAGTTTTACACTCGAACGATAAGTGAAAGTGCACTCGTTTCAAGTACAGCTTTGCATTGTGTTGCATTAATTCGTATAACGCAATCAACGTGTCACTCCACATGCATTCTTTGTGATTCATTCAATCTAGCTGGTCTTAAAATAGTAAAAAATTCCGAGTTAATTTTAAAAAAATATTCGCAGCCGTCTGCGGGGTCATGATCACCGCTTCCCACAACCCGGAGGCCGATAACGGCGTGAAAATCGTAGACCCCCACGGGGAGATGCTCGAGGAGTCCTGGGAATCCTGGGCCACGAAATTCGCTAATGTAGTGTAAGTATCGAACAATTCATTCGATTGCAAACGATTTATTAATCGCCAATTGACCCGCGCCGATTCATTTCGATCGATATCGAAGCAATCGTGTTAGCCGACATCAATTCATTTCAATCTAAACACACAACACAATAAAGATTTACAATCCCCCTCTCAAATACCCGCTTTATTAGTTACACGAGTTTGTTGACTCCTCGTTAACATTTACATCAATTATACGGGTTTTAAAGCCGCGTTACATCATCCTCTAAACCGATACTAAGCTAATGAATGAATTCTTGTAGAGACGAGAAACTGGAGGATACCATCAACGAGGTGATAAAGCTCTTCAACATCGACAACATGAACGATCGAGTGGAAATCGTGATAGGTAAAGACACGAGACCGAGCAGCCCTACGTTAGCCAAAGCCGTGCAGGACGGGGTGCTGGCCTTGTCCGGTAAGCCCATCGACTACGGCATCATCACCACGCCGCAATTGCACTATTTCGTCGTCTGCAAGAACACCCATCGGGCCTACGGCCAACCCACCGAAGACGGTTAGAAATACGATAAATCGAACACCGATTAATAATGATACCGGTCGTTTTGTAGGTTATTACAGGAAGTTAATCAACGCTTTCCTGCGAGTGAGAGGCGATAAATACACCAAAGGCAACTACGAGAATCGCGTAATCTACGACGGAGCCAACGGAGTGGGCGCCAAGAAAGTGAAATACCTCCGGGAAGTGCTCAAAGACAGTCTTTTAGTCGAAATGTACAACGACGAAATCATCGGATCCAATAAACTCAACCACTTGGTAACGCAACTCGCTCGATTAAACCGACTATTAACTATACAATAATCGTTTCAGTGTGGGGCCGATTATGTAAAGTCCCAGCAAAAGTTCCCCAACGGGGTACCCAAAGAGAAGAACGTTCGATGTTGTTCGGTAGACGGAGACGCCGATCGAATCGTCTATTACTATCTAGACGATAACGAGGTTTTTCATCTGTTAGATGGCGATAGAATAGCAGCCCTGGCGGCCTCTTACCTCAAGGACATCGTCCAGAAGACGGGGCTCGATCTCAACATAGGGCTGGTGCAAACGGCCTACGCCAATGGGGCCTCCACCGATTACATATCGAACAAATTGGTACCTATCGAACAGGTTGATGACCGGTATATATTTAGTGATATATTGTTTGTTTGTAGAATATATCGGTGAGTTGTGTATCAACCGGTGTGAAACACTTGCACAGGAAAGCCCTAACGTACGATATCGGAGTGTATTTCGAGGCGAACGGGCACGGTACAGTTGTATTCAGCGCTAACGCTAAAGAGAAATTATCCGCAGCTTCTAAGAATAACAGGTACTACATTTTGAAATGCGCGCAAAATTACTAAAAAAATTACCAAATACTCTTAACGAAAAACGGATATCCTTAATAATATCGTATCAATTTATTCGCTAGTTGTTCGACCGAGCAAAAGGACGCTTGCAACAAACTACTCGACGTGATAGATTTGATCAACGAAACAGTCGGCGACGCCATATCGGATATGCTGCTCGTAGAAACGATCCTGCACGAACGAGGCTGGAACGTGAAGCAATGGGAAGATTGCTACGAGGATTTGCCCAATAAACTGATGAAAATCACCGTAAAGGTAAACAACAACCGTTCAAGAACCGCCACCGTAGAAAGCTGGTCGAGTTAACCGCCACGTAAGAGGCCACTTTTTTATATATGCATTTTGCAGGACCGTAACGTGATCACGACGACCGACGCCGAGAGGATCTGCGTGACGCCGGCGGGCCTGCAGGACGCGATCGCCGTCGCGGCGTCGAAGTACAAGCGAGGTAGGGCGTTCGTGAGGGCGTCGGGCACCGAGGACGTGGTGCGCGTCTACGCCGAAGCCGCCGGCGTCGAAGACGTCGAGGCGTTGGCGTCGGAGGTGGCTAGGAAGGTGTACGAGATGGCCGGCGGCGTCGGGACGCTGTAAATTGGGGGGATATAGAGAGCTGGGGGACGTCGGGACGTTGTAAATTAGGGGTAGAGGGAGCTGGGGGACGTCGGGACGCTGTAAGTCTGTTTAAGGCCATCGGGGGGCGTCGGGGCGCTGTAACTAGGCGTATGGGAGATGGGGGTGGGGGGGCGTCCACAATTTATTTTTTTTTACCGACTGACTAATTTATTAGGGTAAATTAGGTGGATGGTAAACGTGTTTGTGTTTTTTTTGTTCTTGTAAGATATTTGTTGGTTGCTAGCTTCATATTTTATCGTGTATTTTAAATTTTAAACTATAATAGTTGTTAAGGATCCGCATCAATCATTAGGGTTAATTAATTGTTACATTTTCCTTTGGAAGAAGATGAAGAAACTTTAATTGGTGACATATTTTTTTTAAACCTTTATTCTAGTCATGGTTCTTGCAGTTTTTTTTTTCTATTTTAACGATTCGGTTTTATTGGTCACCATTAACAATTTATTAGTCATTTAATGACTTTAATATGGATTGCATATTATAATAGAATGCCTTAAAGTTAGTGTTAAATACCTCACATTTTTTTATATAAACGTTGATACCTGAATTTGAATATATGTGAAGTATTTTTTTTTGTTATAACATAGTGTGGTGTTCATGTTTATTCTTACATTTTACAAAATAATGTTTAATTTTCATTTTAATGTATATTATTTATTTTTGAGATTCGTTTTTTTAGGATACATTTCAGGTGGATGCCCTAACATATTATAAGTTCTTTTCTTAGTTATATTTTGTGCCAATAATTTTACACTTTATACGAATTTTTTTTACTCGGTTATTTCTTGCGTAATTCAAAAAGTATTAGTTTATGAAAACTTACAAAATAGACTTGAATTGTAAAAGGTCCAATTCGTTCAACAAATTAATAATTGTAATCGAACAGGTGCAAGTCAAAAATAAATTATCGATAGGAATAAGTGAAAAAAAAAGCTTTAAAAATAACCAGTGCGTGTATTTTTAATTTGCACTTGTACTTGGAATTATATTCAAATACTCCAGGATTAGCCAGTTGATAGAATAAATTAGATTTTAATATACGAAACACACGCCGGCTTCTCGCGTTAATTTCACGCGCTTCTCGCGATTCTCCTGGGTATTTGAAGTGCAATAAAACTGCCATGCGTTTTTTAAAAGCATAAATGTATTTTTCAACTAGTTTTTTTACTTAAAATGAATTTACAATGCCGTACGAATTGCAATACTTTCTAACGCCTTACTCCTATTAGTCGATTAAATATCCAAATTGTAGCGAAATTTGTTTTAGTGCCGTAACTATTTTAATAAAAATACTTTTTTTACATAATTGTTTCTATTTGTATATTAAGAGGGGTGTTGAGCACTTCAACTATTTTCAACAAGTAAAGTAAATAGGTAAATATAATAAATATCTCCTGTTACTAGACTTCCTTCCATATTCTCCTTGCCTAATATCCGAAATTAATCAATGGAGATCGACGAAAACTTGTGCTCAAATCTCGAAATAAAACGTGAATTTAAAATTTCGTATTAGGAGAACAGAATGTGCCAGGAGGTTTACTTATGACGCTATTAATCGCGCTCCTGTTCGATTACAAATACATACAAAGGCAACCATTTAATCAAATTTCGGTAATTCTGGTTGCCTATCTATTGTATTAGTAAAGCGCGAGTAATAAGTATCAGGAGTAAACCTCTTCACACATTCTGCTCTCCTAATACGAATTCTTAAATTCACGTTTTATTTCGAGATTTGAGCACAAGTTTTCGTAGATCTCCATTGATTAATTTCGGATATTAGGCAAGGAGAATATGGAAGGAAGTCTAGTAACAGGAGATATTTATTATATGGAGAGAGGTACTTCTACGGAAAGTCCTGGATGAAATTTATCATTTTGGGCATTATTATTGTTTTATAGTAGAAATAATGAGAAAGTCAAATGCTAGCTAAAATGCAGCTAAAAGTTTTGTCGAGTTTATTGAAAAAAAAAATGCAAAACTTTTGTCGAATTTATTGAAAAAAAACGCAAAACTTTTCTCGAATTTATTGAAAAAAAAACGCAAAACTTTTGTCGAATTTATTGAAAAAAAAAACGCAAAACTTTTGTCGAATTTATTGAAAAAAAAACGCAAAACTTTTGTCGAATTTATTGAAAAAAAAACGCAAAACTTTTTCAAGGCAATTTGTAAAAATCGGAAGAATAGTTTTGTACATCGTTCGAAAATTTCTCGTTAAAAATTTGCGAATTTAAAATTTCGTATTAGGAGAACAGAATGTGTGAAGAGGTTTACTCCTGATACTTATTACTCGCGCCTTACTAATACAATAGTTAGACAACCAGAATTACATTTATCGATCGAAAATTGATTTACGGATACTATTAGGTAGGCAACCAATTTATCTATTATATACCTCTAAGATGCCAAAAATGCATTAGAAATGATTAAGTATGAACGATTTCTTATAAAAAAATGCATTAAATGGCGATTTCAAAATATATAAAACAAAACACTTTCAACGATATTTTTATTTTCTTACAATAAACTCACTACCGTTAAATGCAACAAAATAGAGACGAAATATTAACACAATATTAATACAAAAACGTTATAAAAACAAATACAACTACAAAACAAATACAAAAACGTTACAGGAGTAAAATCATCGATGTGTCGATCTCAATTCTTACACTTATTTCGCACTTCTTCATGAAATTTTCCTTTTATTCCTTCTCGGTTTGCCCGTTGAATTTCGTTAAGAGTCGATACAAATTCACCTACAAATTACAAATTATTACATACACTCCAAATTATAACATAATAACGCTTTGAAATGCATACCTGAGGAATGATATATTTATTATTCTCTCAGAAATTCACGATACAACAGCTTGGAGAGAATTTCTTGATACTCGTACATGCTCTGTCAAGTTCCTGGGATTCCACAATTTCCTCATAAGCTCGCCGAACCTCTGCAGGAGTAGATGGAAGGTCTCTTTACATTACTCCAATTTTCTTCTCCTCTTGAGAAGTCATTCTGAAGCGGATTAACAAGAGTCAAAAGCCTGCAATTTTGCGCATTTAAATTAAGAAATAACCAAATTCGTTCGGTTAACTCGACTTACCTGCAGCACTGCATTACAGTAATCGTTAGCTTTAATGTTATTTAGGCCTACTATACAGGGGGCAACTTCGTGGAATTCAACACATACTTCGTATCATTTAAAGAGGAATCTATAACAAACTCTTTGATTACTCTTTGAATATTAATTCCCACAATCATTATAACCCCTCTACCTATGTTTTTATAATTGCCTGGTAAATAGTAGAATCCAAATATTGACACAAACTTACGTTACCTGCGGAAGATGGATTATGGATGTACTTTCCAGTTTTCCAGAATTCTCCTCCTCGTGGTGCATCCTAGGTAATGCTAAAGGGTCCGTCGGGCTTATAATCGTGTGCAAACCCCCTAAATTAATTGCCAAAAAATTGTTGATTTATTTGACAAGAATCACTAACCTACAAACTTCTTCTTTTTTTATTCGCTAATAAAAGAAGAAACTCAATGGCTGTCAAATGTCAAATTACGGTCTTACATAACCAAGGTCTGGAAACTTCTCGACTGGTATGTCACGTTACTTGTCTACAAATGTTATAAATGGATATAAATTTGAAAGCATAGATCGTTCGTACGACAAAAGAAACCAAACATTTAACTGAAACCCACTAAACTTTTGCAATTATTGTAAATATTTAAAATAAAATTGACTACGCCTATGATACCAACTCGTTTAGTTATGGCCTGTTGCTGCTCGTGTATTCAGTTTCGAGTGTAAGAATTTGGCATTATTTATAATATTTGCCGGTATAATCGCGATTATATCCTTTATTATTACGTAAATTCTAATAATATTATAAGTGTTATAATCTCAATTATCATAAACGAAGCATTGAACTATTGCGAATTTTCTCGCTACGCATTTGGTAACACTGCTTAGTGAAGTTTTCGCGACTCGTGACGTCTCGAACGGAGTATTATATTATTTACGGTTTATTAGGTCGCGCGGTGGGTTTTTCCGATTAAATTCGAGCGAAAAATCGCTATGGTGCACCGTACAATCCCATCCAACTAATCGAAATCCGTCGAAATCGCCTAAACCGCCGATCGAATTCGAAAATCCCGCTTCGGCATCGCGCGTGCCATGGCCGCTGGCGACTTGATTTCGCATCGCCGTTTTTCGACAACAGTGCGACCCCGATGAGGGGCTATGTGATAATTTTTCGTGCGAAACGATCGAATCTTACGGAATTATGGAAGGTAAATCGACTGTAGGTTCGTTTAGAGCGGCCGGCGCCGCCCGAATCGCGTTTTATCCACCGTCGGCGTTCGGGGTTTATTTTCCCAGCTATTTTTCCATCAACCACCATGCGAACGATCGCCTGCTTTTTTTCCGCGCTATCGCGATAAATAATCACCGTAGGCGGTTTTTCGCGGCTTCTGGATTATTTCGAACGATTCCCGATTAGATTGTGTACCATTTTTTTATTCGATTCGAATTTACGTTTTATAACCCTACTAGATGGATAGATTTACAAACGGAATCGAATGTAATATAATCGCCGTTTTAAATGATTCCCATATCGATTAAAACGGGTATGATTTCTGTTAAGTAACGTAATTGCGAGTATTAAATGCAAGCAACACACTTTCCCTTATATAGATACTTGCTTGACATGGAAAAATGCCCGTGTTTTTCTTTTACAATACCCAATTTACGCTGTACTAACATACTAGATATACTTAATAACTCCTTTTTTTTTTCGTTTACGTTCAAATTCGTTTGTAATGATAAAGATCCATAAGAGGTTCAAAGGTTGGTGTTTTATAATCAATTAAATACATAACTTATCTAAGATTACCAAGATAAACTTTAACAATTAACTTACTTTCATTGAAATTAGTTAATCGAGATAGTAGGTGAGTCCCTTTCCATCTCCCTCGAAAAAACATACAATACGTTTATTGTTTAACAATCGCATTAACTCAACTCACAATCCCAGGCAATTAATAATAATTAAACATTCAAACAAAACTCGTTTGGTTATATCATTGTACGTACAGCTCACGTGACGATAAGGGGAGCTTTCGACTACAATTAACTCGCAATAAAACCACTTTCTATATGTTCCTCTTGCAATGCTACAACAACAAAGGTTGCCCTTCGTGTACAACCCGTTTAAATTCAAAACGTATTAATCGTATCGATGTCGACAGGTAACGGGGAAGTCCAGTGGTGTTTCTCCCAAGTGAAAGGCACTTTGGACGACGATGTGACCGAAGCCGACATCATATCCTGCGTGGAATTCAACAACGACGGCGAACTGTTGGCCACCGGCGACAAAGGGGGCCGCGTGGTGATCTTCCAGCGCGATCCCCTATCCAAAACGGTGCTTCCCAAACGAGGCGAGTACAACGTCTACTCCACGTTCCAATCGCACGAGCCCGAATTCGACTACCTGAAGAGCCTCGAAATCGAAGAGAAAATCAACAAGATACGATGGCTTCGAAGGAAGAACCCCGCCCACTTCCTGCTCTCCACCAACGACAAAACCATCAAACTGTGGAAGGTCTCCGAGCGCGACAAGAAAGTCGAAGGTTAACATCTCACCCTACTTCACACACCAATCACTCGACTAACGGTGGTTTTTCCAAAAAGTAGGCTACAACACGAAATCGGAGACCGGCAGCCTGGTGGACCCTTCGAGCGTCCATTCCCTTCGAGTCCCTGTCATCAGACCGATGGAACTGATGGTGGAGGCCTCTCCCAGACGGATCTTCGCCAACGCTCACACCTATCACATCAACTCCATCTCGGTGAACTCCGACCAGGAGACCTATCTCTCCGCCGACGATCTTCGGATCAATCTCTGGCACTTGGAGATCACCGATCAGAGCTTCAACATCGTCGACATCAAACCCACCAACATGGAGGAATTGACCGAGGTACCGATATACGAGGGTGGAAAAAATAGGTGACGAGTTCTCGGATTTGTCGACGAAACGTCGCGATTTTCGTTGGTTCTAGACGATTTTAAATGATTCTGGAACGTTCTGAATGGTTTTAGATAGTTCTAAATGATTGTAGGCCGTTCTAAATGATTCTGAAGCGTTCCGAATGGTTTTAGGCTGTTCTAAATCATTCTGGAGCATTCTAAATGATTATGGAGCGTTCTGAATGGTTTTAGATAGTTCTAAATGATTCTGAAGCGTTCTGAATGACTTTAAACTGCTCTAAATCGTTCTGGAACGTGTTAAATGATTCTGAAGCGTTGTGAATGGTTTTAGACAGTTCTAAATGATTCTGGAGCGTTTTAAATGATTTTGAAGCGTCCCGAATGGTTTTAGACATTTCTAAATGATTCTGGAGCGTTCTAAATGGTTTCAGATAGCTCTAAATGAATATGGAGCGTTCTAAATGGTTTAGGACAGTTCTAAACGAATCTGGAGCGTTCTAAATGGTTTTAAACAGTTCTAAATGATTATGGAACGTTCTAAATGGTTTAGTTAGACAATTCTAAATGAATCTAGAGCGTTCTAAATGGTTTTAAACAGTTCTAAATGATTCTGGAATGTTCTAAATGGTTTAGTTAAACAATTCTAAATGAATTTGGAGATTTCTAAATGGTTTTAAACAGTTTTAAATGCTTCTGGAGCTTTCTAAATGATTCTGAATGGTTTTAGACTGTTCTAAATCATTCTGGAGCATTTTAAATGATTCTGAAGCGTTCTGAATGGTTTTAAACAGTTCTAAATGAATCCAGAGCGTTCTAAATGGTTCTGGAGCATTCCGAACGGTTCCAATTATTGAATCATTCTAGCGTTGTTTTGAGACAGTTCTAAACGATACAATCCGAGAACTTTTCACCGTACCCTCGTACATATTTATTGTTGGTCTCTGATGACGGAGCGATTCAGTTCGTCATTTTTTGGCGGCCTCTTACTGTAATAGATATACAGCTAACGACTATTTTAATTCCGCAGGTGATAACGGCCGCGGAATTCCATCCGACGGAATGCAATCTGTTCGTCTATAGTAGTAGTAAAGGGACAATTAGGTTATGTGATATGCGCGCCGCGGCGCTGTGTGATAGACATTCGAAGTTGTTCGAGGAGCCCGAGGACCCTACGAATAGGAGTTTCTTCTCGGAGATCATATCCAGCATATCGGACGTGAAGTTATCGAATAGCGGCCGTTACATGATATCTAGGGATTATTTGTCGGTGAAAGTGTGGGATTTGCACATGGAGACCAAACCGATCGAGACCTATCCGGTATGTAACACTCGACGACTCTTACTTGTCGGTTAGTTATACACGATGAATTTTTTTGTAGGTGCACGAGTACCTTCGGGCGAAGCTCTGTTCGTTGTACGAGAACGATTGCATCTTCGACAAGTTCGAGTGCTGTTGGAACGGCAACGATTCGTCGATCATGACGGGATCCTATAATAATTTCTTCAGGATGTTCGACAGGACGACGAAGCGCGAACTGACGTTGGAGGCGTCGCGGGACGTCGCGAAGCCGCGCACCATGTTGAAGTTGCGCAAGGTCTGTTCGCAGGGCAAGAGGAAAAAGGACGAAATTAGCGTGGACTGTTTAGATTTTAACAAAAAAATTTTACACACGGCTTGGCATCCGGCCGAGAACATCATCGCCGTGGCGGCTACCAATAACTTATTCTTGTTCCAGGATAAGTACTAGTTTAATTGATGATTATGTAATTTTTTTTTTTTTAATTTTTTCCTTCTTCTTGTACTTGTGTTTGTCGGACGAGGAACCGCGTCGTGGAGAAACCGAAACGTTGGATTAAAATATTTAAAAAAATATAATAAATAATAACGCCTTTTTGACGAATTTTGGTTTGTAATTATTAAAAACAACAATCATTGTATTCTGATGACGCTAATTTTATGATTGTGAGTGGACAAAAAAGAATCCCAAAATATATACCTAATTTTCTTGTACAACAATATAATAAGCAATGTAAAGACCCGATATTGTTAATTATTTATAATTCATTCAATTATAAAAGTTTCATGTAACGATGTATCATTTTTTTCTTTTAAATTTGTGATATTTTTTTGGTATAACGAATGGATTTTATTTGGTCGTCCGCACTGTAAACAATTTATTTTTCGAAAAATAAATTACGATTCCAAATTAGTCTTACGAAACGTTTTGAGTATTATCGAAAAAAAAAACTTAGCGTAATTTTAGTGCTCTGTGTATAAAAGCGCCCCCTACATTTAAATACCAAAGTGATTTTTGCTCACTTCGATGTTAACATTGTTAATAAATAAATTCCGTAGGTATTTTTTTCTAACACTTCGTTTTATTTGCATCCTCTTCCGATAATTATTTGGTAAGACTAATTTGCCGGTCGTGAATTTTTTTTTGATATTTTTATTTTCTAATACTCGTATACAATTTTTTTTTTTCGAAGTGCTGGTCACAAATATTCCAGAATCATCGTGCATTTTTTTTTATATCCACCTTGTATTGTACAGAATAAACATTATTTTTTAAAATATAAGATCGATATTATTTCGCGAGTTTCTAGCCACCATTTTGCGATTTCCAATGTATAAAAATTAGTACCGTTGAAACAATAATTAGATGTTTGTACAAATCCTGTTAAAATTTAATTTTCCATTTTGCATTAATAAATCATTTTAAAAACCACACGATTGTTATTTTGATGAACCCCAATATACCGGCCTTTTACTACGCAACTAAACGGGTTAATTTAATCGACTTACCTCGCCTTTCGGAATTTCGCAAAGTACGCCACTGGGCGCGTGCGTACCCCCTGAAAAATAACAGGATTTTTTTAATTACAAATAATCTGCATTTACGCATAAATGAATGAAATAAAAATGTGAAGGGTCACGGACGAATGTCTATAAATAACGTCTATTTATGAATAAATTTATAGTTAAAAATGTGGATTTCGATTTGAAAAAAATTAAATCCGCGTTAACAAAACATATTTACGCCGATAAACAACGAAACGAAAAATGGAAAAATATTTATTTATCCGGGATCTGTTTGTTTATTTATTTATTTATTGGCGACGGCAAAGTACGGACATTGTAATATAGCATTTTCCTTCGCCTAAACATTGAAAAATATTTAGCGTAACATTCTCGATTCGTTTACTATATAAACCATAACAAACCGCATTATCTATGGCAAACTGTCGTGAACTTAAATTTAATCTTTGAACTTCAGACCCGTTTGAAATGCATTTCTGGTTTTCGCATGGGCGCTTACCAAGATTATTAATTATTCTTTTTATACAACAATTAAATCGCCTTCTAAAATCCCCTCTAATTATTTCCACGCGTTTTTTTTCATCGAAGAAAAATTAAATCCATCAGCGCCACATCCGGTGCATCCGCTGGCCGGGCTATAGTAACTCGAATTTCGCGCGAATCCCGACCTACGCCAATGCACTGTAAACAAATTAATTATATTTTCGATTCGATAACGGGGGATGATACGAAATTTTAAGGAAAAACTAATCTCAGTGTCGATTCGAAATGTGAAATGCACGGTTGAAATTCAAACGCCCGAAATCATCTACACAACCCGGATCAAAATAAAAAAAAAACTATGTTAGTACGGATATATCCAAGTTAAACAGAGTGCGAGTTCGAGTGATCGTTTGTGAACTAATTATTTATATAAAAAAAAAAAACAATACACTAAAAATGCTCAGGTTCACCAGAAGACAATGGCTGACGTTAATCGTCATCGGCGTGGCGGATTTCTGCAACGCCATCTGCGTCTCCCTGCAAGCTCCATTCTACCCCCAAATCGTAAGCAACATCCCCATCCAAATCCACAAAACAATCATCGACATCTTTTCCTTTCGCAGGCGGAGAGCAAAAACTGTACAGCCACCGAATACGGCCTCGTCTTCGGCATCTTCGAATTCACAGTATTCCTCATCAGCCCGTTCTACGGTCAGCATCTGCACAAGCTCGGCCCCAAGTTGGTCTTCAACGCGGGCATCTACACCACCGGCATATGCGCCATACTCTTCGGGTAAGATACGTTTGTAATTTTCCACCAAACAGCCCATCGTTAATTTCGTCTTCAGGCTATTGGATAAAATCCAGGAGCGCACTCCCTTCATCGTCCTCAGCTTCACCATTCGGATAGTCGAGGCGTTGGGCAACGCCGCCTTTCTCACCGCCAGCTTCGCCATTATAGCACAGGAGTTTCCCAACAATGTTGCCACGACATTCGTAAGTTCTCATCGATTTTCATTAACCGAAAAACACCGGAAAGAATAAGTATACTAGCGCATTTTAATAGTAGTAGGATAAGTAGGTGAATATTAGGATGTAGGAGGTATAGAAGAAACTTCTAAAGATGTTGGTGAAGGAGCAAAAAGTCTAAAAGAAGGTGTAGAATATCTTGCTCTTGTAGGATTCAATAATCCACTAAAAACAAGAGAGTGTAGTAGAAGTTTTCGAAGAAACTACAAAGCAAAAGGTCATGTAGAAGGTCTTGCTCTTGTAGGATCCACTAATCCACTAAACACATGAAAGTGTAGTAGAAGTTTTCGAAGAAACTACAAAGCAAAAGGTCATGTAGAAGGTCTTGCTCTTGTAGGATCCACTAATCCACTAAAAACAAGAAAGTGTAGTAGAAGTTTTCGAAGAAACTACAAAGCAAAAGGTCATGTAGAAGGTCTAGCTCTTGTAGGATCCAATGAAAACAACAACTAAACCAATGAAAGTCCTCAGGAATGACTAGCTCTTTCGAATTTCCAGGCTTGTTTGGAGACCTTCTTCGGCTTGGGTTTGATATTCGGCCCGACCGTCGGCGGGGCTCTCTTCCAAGTAGGCGGCTACACATTACCCTTCGCCGTGATGGGATCAGCTCTCTTCCTATCAGCCGTCCTCACGGCCTTCGTCCTCCCCAAACACGAGTCGGGAAAAGACAGAAAAGTCGCCCGTAAGTACCCACCAACCTCCCCAAAACCATCCATCTAATTCGATCACCCCCGCAGCCTCGGCCTTCCAAGCGCTGAAGATCACCGGGGTGCTGCTGTGCACGCTCAGCATCGTCGCCACCAGCATGTCCATCGGCTTCCTGCAGGCCACGCTCGAACCCCATTTGCGCACCTTCGATCTGCCGCCCGTGTTGCTCGGCCTCATGTTCGTCCTCAACGGCGGCACCTACGCCTTGACCGCCCCCGCCTTCGGCTGGTGCTGCGACAAAACGTACGCCCCCAAGTGGGTGACGGTCGCCGGGTGTTTGCTCATCGCCACCGGCTTCACCATGGTGGGACCGGCGCCGTTTCTTCCGGTCGAAAAGTGGGTAGTTTCCTCGTTAAATTAATCCTAGTTCTGTTTGGTGATGGTTGCGTAACGGTTGCAGGAAAATGTGGATGATTATGTTCGGATTGGTGTTGCACGGTTTGGGGATGTCCGCTCAATTGGTGGCCTCTTTCACCGACGCTTTGAGGACTTTAGTGTAAGTGATATCTTCTTCACCATCTGCTGTAACATTCTCTCTACTTTTTCGCCTCTTTAATCGCAGGTTGCACGGGTTCCCCAACGACCTGGAGACCTTCGGTTTGATATCGGGCATCTGGACGAGCGCCTTCGCCTTGGGCGCCTTCGTGGGGCCCTCCATTAGCGGCGTGCTGTTCGACAACATCGGCTTCGCCAACGCCTCGCTGTTCGTCATTCTACTGCACGTCGCCGTCGCGGCGCTCACCGCCGCCTTCGTCTTGATCACCAAAGACAGGACGCCCGTGGTGAAGTTCCAGGACGCCGAGACGGCGGTGGGGGATCCCTCGGAGAAGTGCCCCGCCGACGACAGCATCACCGAGAGCTTGAAGAAGTTAGTCGACGAGTTTGTGATTCCCCGGATTGTTGTTATTAATGTTTTTTGGAAATTTGCAGCATTCGCTCGGTGGGTAACGGGATATCGATAGAGAAAAGTCGCCCGCCGGGGATGAACAGCCTGATTGCCTGCAATAGCTACAAGTCGCAGGCCTGGCCCGAAAGGGACTCGTCCTATCAGCGCTTGGGACCGTTCAGCTACACCTACGGAGCCGTCAATCACAAGTAAACCGTTTTCTCGGTGTAGAAATTGCGCTCTACACGCATATAAATATTTGGTGAACGTGGGCGAACGTATACAGGGTGGACGACGGAATTATTTATTTGGTTTTTTTTTTTGCACTTCGTGGTACGAATAAATAGATTTTATTAGCAATATGGCGTTTTATTTGAGTGACTTTATAACAAAAGTGTTACTACTTGTTTGAATCATACAGGGTGTTAAAAGAGTACTTTTAGTACGTATGGTACAAGTACCACTAAACGAATAAAAAAAAATAATCTACGAATCGAGTATAGGTAATTAATGAGAACAAATATTCGTCGGGGTACTAATAGGTAGTACCAATATAGGTAGTACCGCGATATTTGCATGGAAACGACATACACATAGGCGCGTAGGTCGATGAGTCACGCTCGAAAATCGCGTACCCATTGTTCGGTTTGACCTTCGAAGAACCACCCTGTAGGCCGGCGGAACAGGTGAAGTACTCTTACCTGGCGAGTACCGGAGTACCGGCGACGGCCGAGCGCCGACGACGACGAGAGCGATTGAATAGCGAAAAAAAAAAAAAAAAAAAAAAAAAAAAAAACGGCGCGCGTATTAGTACCGCGGGAGTGGACGAGAGACGGAGAGAGAGTGTGAGAGAGAGAGAGAGGTCGGTTTCCTCTGCGGCGAGCGAGAGTACTGCGAAAGGCCTCCGAAGAGAATAGTACCCGACATCGGCGGTACCCGAACCGCGTACTGGTAGTACCCCGTTTTTTTATACATAGTGTGCGTGGTTTTTTTTTGTGTTTTGTGTTGTGCGTACAAAGGATAGTTTTGAGTGGAAGTTTTCAGTGGTACCCGGAAGTACTCGGGATAAAACTGGGTAAGAGAAGTAGTACCGGAACGTCCTTTTCGGCATCCGCCTACTAGACTCGAGAAACTCGAGGTATTATAACGTGACATAACGAGAATTTGCATTTGCACGAAAGTGCAAGTATAACCGGTTAGGCATTCGCGGGGAAATTTCGTGCGAAAAAAATATTATTCGTAGTAGTAGTACCGAATTTCTATCGGATGATTGTTTAACAACAATTAGGCATCGATGTTTTGCTGGAGTTTTCGCGGAATATTTTTTTTTAATCCCCATCCAGCCACCAACTTTCTTTTGCCGTTTACTTATTCGCAATAATAACTCTTAATTAGTTACGTTTCACTAAATTAATTAATTAAGCAATAGTACGATTAGCAGGAAATCTAATAATACATAAATTTACCAGCAAATATTTCATTTTACAACGCCTAATCATTCCTCGATAAAGGGACGATTAATCCCACGAGAATTTAAAATTCCTCACTATGTAATACGGATGTGCAATTGGTATTCAAATTAAGGAATGTTTGTACAGGTACTATTAATTGCACATCTTCGAAATACGCGAGAGAACTCTCGGGGCACGTCTCGTGCATATGGATTCCTTCGAATAGGTCAAGTAAAAGTGACAATAAAATCTCCTGCGCTTTGGAAAAGTGCAAATAACTCGAGGCTTCAAGGCTCCAAACGCATAGCGAATATTATTTTTTTTTTCGAGCAATTACCCAGCTAAATTTCTAATCGATTTTACCAATTAGTGAATCCCCTGGCCTCGACTGTTGTAGGTAATCGGCCACACAACGTCCCGTGTGTTTCCCCGAACTCGAGCATTTTTAATAAAACAATAATTGAGTGTTTCGCGAAGCACGGAACGGCAGGTGAGTCAGGAACCCTCACGGAACGTGTATTTTTTTTTTCATTGTTTATTGTTTCGTCTAGACGACGGAAGTACTAAAAGAGAACTCGAAACCACTACCGAATCGGTCGCGACAGGTAGGAGGTATTAGTAATAAAAAAAAAGGATATATAAAAGAAGTACCCGACCCTATACCTGCTCGTATAAATATAATAACCGGAGGAATTTCAACCTGAAATGAAAAATGACCGGTTATTGGACAAAAATGCGATTAGATAATACGGGAAAGATGGATTTAACAATTGTTGATTAATCTCGAATGTTTTATACTCCGTTCGACATCAAGTAGTCAATAATAGACACTATGTAATTAATGATATAAATAATTAGCAACTACCTGTAATAAGTACCAAAGGGCTGCTAATTTATACACACCCTGTATACAGAGTGGAAGTATAAAAGTAAAATAAAGATTACAATTGATGGTTAAAGTTTTCTGATTTTTTGTTTGAGCCACTCGTGCTGTCTTTTACATACAAAACCAGGTAGTACCTGACGTGTCATGAGGGCGAACGGAGTATAGATCGAATTTGCAATTAGTAACGCTCGATTTGATTGATTATTTATCATTACAATCGAGTTTATTATACAGTTACAGTTCGGAGATGTATCTAGTTATCATGTAGAGAAGAGATATTTTCGTTAAATAAATTAAAGCGGGATTTTTTTTTCTAACGAGTACCCAGTAAATCGCCGATTAATCGGTAAAATGTCGTGAATCACGATTTTAATTTTTTTTTTTTTCATAAAATTTTCGTTAATATTTCGATTAGGCTCAATGAGTAAGTGAAATGCTTCGGGGCAATCGTTAATTATTTCTGCAAAAACTGTTGATTTCCAAAAAGAAATCGCCGATATCGTTGAATCACGCCAGATTGGCGAAAAGCACACGGATAAATGCAAAAATGCATAATATATATATTTTTTTTCGATTCTAATCGAAAAACTTTTTGTCTCAGTGTGTAATTTCACTAATTTTCTATTCGTTTTTTAACGCGAAAAATCTTATGTAATAATTAAAAAAAAATCGATTTTTTGTACGGTAATTAAACATAAAATACCTACACTGGAAAAAAAGTTAGTTTCGCGAATTCCAAAAGCTATCGAAATCAAATTGCGTTACAGAGCGATATTTAACGAAGTGTAAAAGGAATGTAATGTCGCTAGAACGTTTTATAAAATAACTTTCTTAGGCGATAGTTCCAGTTAAAATAGACCAGATGATGTCCTTCGAATATTTCTTGACCATAACCGTATACATTTACACACTCACACACATTAAGTTATTCCCCCGTTCGACGCGTCATTATAAATTCTCTTTTGCAATTCCCAATCGAATCAATGGCGATATTTTTTTTTTTTCAATTCTCTCCAGTTTTAATGCAGTTACGACCATAACGCAATTACGCAATTAATAACTAGCGCTTATTTTAATTCGTTATATTGTTGCGACACGGAAAATGTAGGATGAGAGAATATTCGCCCATTATATGATTATTACGCGATTCATTATTCGTTATTTCCCCCAATTATTACCATAAATACAATCGGCAATTTAATTATAATATATTAAAAAATATGCATTATCTACTACTACAGCATCTCTACACTAAAATACAAGGTTTTTTTGCTTGTATATTAATCGAGAACAAATTCCTCGATTTTTGCACTTTCACATATCGATTCGAACTCGCCGAAACTTAACAGTCGGCCCCCAGAAAACGACCTTAAACCACTTTTCAAATCGACAGATCGTATCGCACCGATTCCGCATCAATTACTCACAAATACACAGAATGTCCCATTAAAAAAAAAACGCAAAGAAAACACTCCCGAATCGTTCCAGACCACAAAATGGACACCACCAGGAGCCCTGACGCAAACGACGAAGAAAGAAACGAAGCCGCATCAGACGAAGACAACAAAGACAACAACGCCAACACGTCAGAACTCGTCATATTCGTCGACAGGCCCATCAACGTGAAGAACAAAGACAGAAGCGATTCGTTGAGAAACGTACGTTTCCATACACTTCAACTACCCAATGAAATATCTCCCTTTCATAACACACACACATCCCTTTTACAGAACAGCCTCAAGCTACCCCACTATCTACCGATGACCAATCTCACCGAGACCACCAAGCACTACATCATCATCGACGAGAAGGGCAAAGGCAGGGAGCACCAGCAGCAGCAGCACCAGAAGGGGCGTCGCGACGGCGCCGACAATCCGGCCTTCGTCGACGACGACGACAGGCCGCGGGAGGCGGCGGGCGGCGGGCACGCGGAGGCGGCCAATCTGGAGCTGATCAACCTGAAGCCGGAGCACCATCTCAACGGCGGCCGGAGCTCCTCGGAGACGACCAACACCTCGAGCAATTCCACTGGAATACCCGCCAAGGGGGACGAGGAGGCGGCCAAGAGCCGGTACGACGAGTACTTCGTGCCCGTCAACGAGTACAGGAAGTGCATGAGGTGGTAGATCTATCGAAACGCCAAGAAGTTCATTTAAATTTTTCCTGTTTATTTCCAGAGGAGAGAAACTGTATCTGACGAAAGACAACAGAGTGAAGAAGAACAAGAGGAAACTAATCTGCTGGATTTTGCTCACTTGCATCACCGCTGTCGTCATCGTACTGATAGTACTAGCTACAGGTTCGCTAACAACCACAACCCCAACTAGTCATTCATTAAATTGAAGAAGTTGTAAAAATAGTTTTAGTTACAAATCTACCCTTTAAATTTTCTTATTGTTCAATAAACTCTTCGGTTATTTCAGGCGGTACTTTAGGGAACAGCCGGCCTCAACCCGTCGAAGCCACAGGCAGGAATTTAGATGGCGGTACTGTCATTAAAGCGGGCATAAGCGCGCCGGAATTCACTGTTATCGATCATTCGCCTTCCAGTATGAACTCGTCTGGAAAGCCTCCCGATGAACCGACTACAACCGAAGTTTACGTACCGACAGGTACTCGTTCGTTCTTCTGTTGCGTGACCGATTCTTTATGGTGTTATCGATTTTTGTAGTACCCAATGCGGCTGATGTGGAATTCGCTATAGAAAATATGTTCTTTTCGGAAGCGTTAAAGGAACCGGGTAGTACCGAATTCAAAACTCTAGCGTCATCTTTGGAGAAGTTATTAAAAAACAACGCCATCGGTGACATTTTACACGAAAAAGAAGCCGACGATGTTTTCCCGGAACTCCGCATCAGAATCCTCGAATTTTCGTGAGTACTCTCCGAAACCAAAGTACCCACAATTCACTAAATTATCACCCTCAGACCGGGCAGTATCGTCGCCGCATTCCGCATGGGCTGGACCAACAACAACACCATCGACATGGAAATCGACACCAAGGCCATCCGTAACGATTTCAACGAATTCTTCGAACGACAATCCGGCTTCCTCGGGCCGTACCGCGTCAAGCAGTACTCGCTCAAGGTGCGCGCCATCCGAGATCTCTGCCAAATCACGCAACCCTTTTGCAATTCCATCTGCCGCTTCGACTACAACGTCCTCAACTTCACCTGCTCGTGCCCGCCCCAGGTCCCGGCGCCCGAGAACATGACCAATTGCCTGGTCACCAACGCCGACGACAAGGACGATCCCTGGTTGAGCGAGGAAAGGTACTACTACACATAGATACAAAGCTACTCCTCTAGATTACACCTGGTTCCGTTTCAGCGACTTCTCGTCGGAGCAGGAGTACAAATACGACTACAACGATCGCTCGTCGGAGCTCCTGACGTTGGAAAACAAGGACTCCTCCACGAGGAAACCGCCTTCCGAAGCCACCACCACCACCACCACCACCACGTCCGGTGAGTTCATAGCGCACTCCAACACCACCGGCTCGGCGACGAGATCTTCTACCACCATCACCACTTCCACCACAACTACCACCAGCGCCTACGTGATACCCAACGTGCTCTCCACCGAGGAAGCGGCGACGCAACGCGTGGAGTCCTTCAACTTCCCCGTGCACCTGCAGAACGCGCGCGACTACGACTCCCAAACGTCCTCCGAAGAGGAGCTCGCCTCCGACCAGGACAAAATCGGCGAATCCGATTCGGATTCGTCGGAGATCGAGGAGTCGATGGTGCGCGGCCAGGAACCCTACCCGCTCGACCGGGAGAACCTCGAGAAGAAGGAGAGGAAATCGTTCATATTGATATCGAGCGGTTCCGGCGCCGACAACAAGATGAGAAACGAACGTACCGATAACGGTAAGAATACAATACTTAAGTACGAATCGAATTGCTAAGAGAGAGAGATTCTCGTTGGTGTAAAGTGACGTTCGAGAAGAGCCAGCTGGTGATGAGGGCGCACTCGCCGAACGGCGAGGACGTCTCCAAGCAGGACTTCTACGTGGACATGTCGGAGGACGTGCTCGGGCAACAGGACAAAGGCAATTCCAAGGAGACTTCGTACGATATCGGCGTGGTGTACACTCCCGAAGCCGAGGTGCTTACCGAACCGCAAATGTCCACCACGGAGAGCGCCTTCTTGAAAGTCAGAGTGCACAAGAAGAAACATCCATTGAGAGAACCGAAAATTCAAGGTGAGCATTCGAATCTGCTTTGCCAGTTCTGGAACTACTATTTCTGTTTAGAATTGCATTACACCAACGAGGAGATGGAACCGTCCAGCGATTTCGTGGAGTCCCAATCGCAGGAAGACTACATGTCGCCGTTTTTGCCCGAGATCGATAACGATACCTTCGTCAATTCGTTGGGACCTGAGGATCATTCGCACGACAACGCGACCTCGATCAAACCACCTACATTGGAATTTGATCAAATCAATCGCACCAATCCGTTCGATACCTCAAACGTGGAGGATTCTACCCAAGTCGACATCAAACCGCAGGTGGATGTTATTATTTCAGACGGTACTGTTAATTCTACTGAGGAATCCACCACGATTACGGAGAGTACTACTTTAGAAACCACCACCACAGAAGGTATAAGTTTGGTAAACAAATCGTTTCTTGGTTAGTTTATATATCGTATGCTCTTAGATCTAGATGGAAATTCAACGCCTGACTCACCTACTACAACAGATTCCACCACAGAACTTTCCACAACTTTCGTTCCGACAGAAACAACCACAACCGAAATAATAGCGAACACCACAACAATAGATACAACAACAGAATCAGAAACCACCACAGTAACAGAAACCACAACAATAACAGAAACCACAACATCAACAGAAACCACAACAGCAACGGAAACCACAACATCAACCGAATCCACAACAACAACTACAGAAGACACCACAGACAGAAACTCAACGAGTCTGTTCAATTTCAAAGAAATCTCCACCAGCACCGAGGATCTGATAGCCCTCGAAACCACCACCAACGATTTGATCGATTCCAAAACCAACAAAAGCGACCTTAGCGTAGTACCGTTGGGCGACAGTACCACCCAAGACAGCAACGAAATCGACAACGAGATCCTCTTCGACGAATCCACGACCAAAAGCACAGGAAACCAATCCTGTCCGTTGGGGCACTTCGAATGCTCCGGCGGTACTTGCGTGCCCGGTACTTGGAGGTGCGACGGTACCAAAGATTGCGACGGCGGCGAAGACGAGGAGGCAACGATTTGTAGTAAGCTTCGAAACGTCCCTAACGGTACCACACGTGTTGTAATTTAACCATTTACAGGTTGTACCGAAGGCGAGTTCAAATGCAAAATAGGAGGCGGGTGCGTACCGGAAACGAACGTTTGCGATGGTACCGCGCAGTGCGCGGACGAATCCGACGAGTGGAACTGCTTAAAATTGGACCATTTAATCGACGAGAATAAGAAAATATTGCAGGTATCCGACGGTAACGGTACTTGGTATCCGATATGCATGGACTGGACATCTTGGAACACCGCCGTGGCGGATAGAGTGTGCCAAAAAGTTGGTTATACAGCTTCGTCTGCGCTGGAATCGGTACCGAACACAGGAAATACTAGTACTACATTTACCTACGTGCTCAAATATCCATCGAACGATTCCATTTTGCGTTTCGAAGGAAACAAACTACCCGATTGCGATCAATACGTATCCATCAGCTGCCAAGAATACGGTACTAACACTACTTTGATTGATTTTGATTCTACTTTACCATCGAAAGTACTGATTAATCAATTAATGATGCGATGCAATTAATGATTTTCAGTGTGCGGTAGTACTTCGAGCTTGGAAGTACCGGCGGCTAGGATAGTAGGCGGCGAAAAGGCCTCTCCGGCCCAATTCTCCAGTGTAGCTCTTCTCTTCGATAAAAAGAACAAAATCTACTGCACCGCCACGTTGGTGACGCCTCTATGGGCTCTAAGCAGCTACTCATGCTTGGCTCAAACTCCCCAAATCGCCGCCGACGATTGGTACCTCTACGCCGGCGGTACTCCCGACGGAGATAATTCCACCACGCAAATCAGGCAGCTCGAACGAATCGTCACCCATCCACAAGTGAGTCGAGCAAACGCAAAAAGCATTACAACGATTGCTATAATTCGTTTATTATCTAGAGTAAATTATCGAGTACCGGCTTCTCCAACGACGTGGTACTATTAAGGCTCGAAAACCCCGTCAATTTGAACGTCAACGTCAGCGCCATTTGCCTGCCCACTAGACCCGTCCAGCCCAGGCAATTGTGCATCGTAGCCGGATGGGGATTGACCGAAAAATCCGCGGAATCCGACCAGCACCGGTACCTCCACTACCTGCCGGTACCGCTGATGGACCTCGACGAGTGCAACTCCACCAAGTACTACGACGGGAAACTCGCGGGCGGGAAAATCTGCGCCGGTTACACCGACTCCGATAAAACCCCGTGTTTCGTAAGTGGTACCATTTTTGCTGGCCTCTTACCCGTCGGGTTTTAAGCGCGAAATATAGGGTGTTTCGAATTTCTAACCACGCATTTTGATACACTGCGAAATAAGGTTTCGAAATAGCAATTCCAATGTTACGGTTATGCAACACTCATTACACCTAATAAATCACTATTTTCAAAGGTTTTTAACCTTCAGATGTCCAATTTATACATTCACATCTACAAACAACACTATTGCTCTCGTATATTCCACCTTAAACTCCTCACACAACCATCACCCGGGCTTCTACCGAGCAAAACACCACAACTCCCATCATTCTAGCTAAATTAATCGGTTATTTCTTCGATGTTAGAAGGACGAAGGGGCGCCGTTGCTGTGCTACTCGGAGAAGGCCTCGACCTGGGAGCTGTACGGGGTGCTCAGCCACCACGGCGGGTGCGGCTCGACCGGCCTGCCCGCCCTCTACGAGGCCGTCGACGAGCAGACGAGGACCTGGACGAGCAACACCGTCGGCGCGGCGGCCGTGTGAGGAAAATATCTCCTCTACACGCTAGGAAAAATCAACTCGACGGTGCCATATGTAGACTTTTTTTTAATAAAAAACAACCTCCTCCCCCTTTCCGGAGGAGGACAATTTCGTGATCGATACAAAAAAACGATTCCCCCCTAAAACGCCAAAGGAGCGATATATCGTTGTAAATAGTGTATATTGAAACATGAATAATTGCCTTATTACCACGTGTACTTAATTATTTAAAAATGTACCTAATAAAAAAAATTTACAATTACTTCTACGTTCGTCTTTTAAGCACCAACCAATCGCTTCCTGCTCTATCATTACATCCCCTTCATTCATCATCATTATTACACCAATCAGCTCTATTATCAAGCGATAAAATTCACTCCCTCTCTAACGAAAACCATCCCGTTTCGATCGCTCGCGGATTCATCTCGACCGGAGCTCCAGGATGTCTAGACTCACCGGCGACGCTCCGAAGCTGCGCGCTCCTCCGTCTCTCTCGCCTCCGCCATTCGTCCTGCGGTTTTCCATCGAGATGGAAACCGCCGCGTGGAAAATCGCGTTGATGATCGTGCTGGTGCTCGCCGCCTCGGGGGCTGCCGACGAGAGAAAACGCATGGAGAAGGTGAAGCAACTGTAAGTAGATTTCTTCGATTGTCGTTGGAAGTTATGGGAACTCGTGGGGGTTTGCAGGGTGCGATTTTGGTCGAAGAGAATCGGCGAGAAACTGACGGAATTGAGCAAGAAAATGACCAGAGAGGATCAAGTGGAAGACGTGAGTTATATATCCAATCGTTTGTACTTGTACTCTTCCTTTTTTTTTTTGGTAGAGTTTCAGGATATTAGAAGACAAACTAATCAAAGAAGACGATAAAGACCTAGTTAACGACATTGCAGATGACATCAAAAAAATGATGAAGAAAAAAGAGGAAGCCGTTTTTGTAAGTACCTCTACACGCTACATTCTAACTGCGATTACTCCACTTCCATTCCAGAACATCGCCGAATACATGGAATTCATATCCTACCACAGAGACTTAACACCAATCTTCGAAAATTCCTCCTACTACTTCTTCGACGCCGACAACATCACCGACACGGAACCCACCGACAAACGATTGGAGGAACTCCACGCCACCATTTTGAACGTAAACCAACCCCTTTATCCACCAACTAGTACCTAATGCAGCACCCCGATTTCCAGAACGAATGCCACTGGAAGTGCGAGCAACCGTGCAACTCCACTCTAAAGCGCAACGCCTTCAGCGACTGCTCCGTCCGGCTCAAACTCTTCGCTCCCAGGGACAACGAACAGAGCAAAGAGTGCAATTGCGCCCACCTGCCGGAGAAGGACCGTCCGCCCGACACCTACCGGCACCTCCCGCTCCGGTACGATCCCCGGTACGACGAGCACGTCAATTTGGATTTGAGCGTCGCCAAACTGGCCATCAACGTCTACGAAAGAGGTACGACTTGGTTAGAGACAACTGATGACAACTAAATTCCGATCTAATCGCAGAGCACACCGTACTGGAAGGCATCAGATGGTCCGAGGCGCTCGATTTGGTGTTCAAAGAGAACCTCAACAACGACCCGACCTTGACCTGGCAGTATTTCGCCAGTCCCAAGGGATTCATGCGACACTACCCCGGTAAACAACTTCCACCACAACAATCTCCAGTACTAATCCATCTAGTGTTGCAGCGATGAAATGGTCGGAGGAGCAGTACAAGCAAACCTACGACTTCCGGCTGAGGACCTGGTACACGGAGGCGTTCACGTCGCCCAAGGATCTGATCCTGTTGCTGGACAGATCGGGCTCGATGATAGGCACCAGACGAGCGGTGTCCGATCAGATCGTCAATCAGATATTGGACACGTTGAACGACAACGATTTCGTCAACGTCTACACGTTCACCAACACCACGGAGCCGTTGATAAACTGCTTCAACGATACGTTGGTGCAGGCCAACGAGGAGAATTTGAGATTGCTGCGCGAAGCCATACCGGTGTACGAGGAAGAGTACGTGGCCGATCTGTCGCTCGGTATAAACAAAGCCTTCGATATATTGGAGAACTTCAGGAAGACGCGATCGAGTAAGTACGATTTGTTGTTTACACACAATAATTAGTTTTATCAACGCAGGTGCGAATTGCAACCAAGCCATCATGTTGATAACCGAAGGCATCGATTACTACTACGACAAAGACATCTTCAAGCGAAGAAACTGGGACAAGGACTACCCGGTGAGGATATTCACCTATCAAATCGGGCAAGACGAAGGCGACGCCGTCGAAATGGAATGGATAGCTTGCAACAATATGGGTACCAAACTACACGTAAACTCCACAACGAAACCATTCCATCGAATTTCCCATTGCAGGTTGGTGGGGCAACATGAGCGTGATGGGCGACATACGCGAAAAGATGATCCACTATTTGAACGTCATGTCGCGACCCATCAACCTCGGCTTGGACAAGAAACGCTCGCACATCTGGAGCTATTTGCACGTCGATCTGGCCGACAGGCGGCTGTCCAATTGGCTGTGGAAGAAATTCGAAGGCATCAGACAGAGGAACATCTATCTCGATCACATCAAACGGATCGTCTACAGACAGAACCAAATGCTCACCGCCGAAGATCACATGCTGTTGAAGGAAACCCACGTATGTATCGAGTCTTCTTTTTGATGGCCTTTTACTGTCTTGTTGACTGATTGATTGTTGCAGCCCTACAAAGCTTACGAGGACAAAATGGACTACAAATACATGACGACAGTTTCGCTGCCTGTTTTCGGAAGGAACATTAACGAGGTACTTTATTAGAAACGTTTCGATTAGGTTACTTAATTACCTCTTTTCCAGACTGAATTATTAGGGGTGGCCGGTGTAGATGTCCCTCTGAAACTGTTCAAATCTCTCATACCGTACGAAAGGGTGAGTATATCGATTAAATCGATTTCGATCGAATTGTAAATCGATTTTTGTAGCTGGGCGTCAACGGGTACGCTTTCATCGTAACCAACAACGGGTACATACTGATGCATCCGGATCACAAAAGCGAGGTAATTAGTGCAATTTCATTCGTTTTACGCCCAATTGAGGGTTTTATTTTTTTTGTAGTTTCAAACTATTTTAAAACCTACGTTCAACAGAGTGGATATATTGGAAGTTGAAATTTTAAACGACGATAGAGAACCGAGATTATTCGGAGATTCGGTCGTAAAGGTAAGCTTTGTTCAACGATATATCGAGCGCTCCTCGTAGCATCGTTTATATACAAGGCGCACTCGATATATAAACGAACATCTAACGAAATTTTAGCTACTATATAAACAACTAAATACAAAAAAATCCAGTTTAGGGACAAGCTAGTCAACCAAAGATCCAACGAACCGGTCATCCTCAAAGTAAAATACACCCTCAACGACAACGTAAGAGAAAAAAAAATAACCCCACTCGCCCCCACAATCCGATTCAAACGATCGTTAAAACATCCTTTCCAGAAACGCCTGATGCTCGGCTGCAGGCACTACTACTTCGCCCCCATCGGACCGTTCACCTTGGGCGTGGTACTACCCGACAAGTACGGCTTCGACATCGTCAACAAGACGCTGATCGATCGACCCGATCCCATCGACAGCGCCGCCTCGCTCAACTCCCGCTTCTGGAAGGTCCATCCCGATTGGTAAGTAGTACCCAGAGTACCGGATCGCGCTCACATCGCATTCCTCGACAGGATATACTGCAAAAAATGCGTCGGAGATAGTCCCGAGGATCGAGTTCGAGACGGATTCAGCAAAAACGAAAACAGTAAGTACTCGAGCTCTTTCATGGAACGCCCAATGAAGGTACTCGATAATCTACCCGGAGTTCCTTCTAATGTCTTTGTTCGCTAGACCATCTCTAAGTGCATTCCAAACGCCTTCCTGGAGGTGCAGAATCTTGTTCATTAAACCTTATTTAGGTTCATTCCAAACACCTTCCTGGAGGTGCAGATTCTTGTTCACTAAACCTTCTTTAGGTTCATTCCAAACACCTTCCTGCAGGTGCAGAATCTTGTTCATTAAACCTTCTTTAGGTTCATTCCAAACACCTTCCTGCAGGTGCAGATTCTTGTTCACTAAACCTTCTTTAGGTTCATTCCAAACACCTTCCTGCAGGTGCAGATTCTTGTTCACTAAACCTTCTTTAGGTTCATTCCAAACACCTTCCTGCAGGTGCAAATACTTGTTCACTCAACCTTCTTTAGGTTCATTCCAAGCACCTTCCTGGAGGTGCAGATCCTTGTTCACTCAACCTTCTTTAGGTTCATTCCAAACACCTTCCTGCAGGTGCAGATTCTTGTTCACTAAACCTTCTTTAGGTTCATTCCAAACACCTTCCTGGAGGTGCAAATCCTTGTTCACTAAACCTCCTCTAGGTCCATTCCAAGCACCTATTATATCGACCCTGTAGGTGCAGATCTTCGTCCACTAGCCCTCCTCCAGGTCCATTCCCAATCCCCCCGGTTCCCTCCGCAATTCAGAGCACCGCTAACTCCATTGCAGCATCCCTTCTGACCTCGCTGCTCTACGACATGGAGGCCACCAAGTGGTTCGACGACTACGGCGACGCCGACGCCGACGAGGAGAAGTTCATCGTCGCCTATCAGGTGCACAAGGTCTTCCTGGCCACCTATTCGGGCCTGACGCGTTGGCGCGACTTCGAGGACATCAGCAGCGTGCGCGAGGACGTCGAAGACAGCTTCGAGAAACGCAACGATCGCGCCATCGACGAGGACTGGTACCGCCGGGCGGTCGAATTGAACTTCGAGGACGAGAGCAAGTTCATCTATTCGGTGCCGTTCGAAACCTCGGGTACTTTCGAATCGCTTGTAGCGTTAGATTTGGTGCTATGTCGTGGTTTGTAGGTTACGAAAACAACACCATGATAACCAGTACTAAGGCTATATTCGTGGAAAAGGGCGATTTGAAGAGCCCCGTGGCCGTGGTGGGTTTGCAATTCAACCACAGGGAGATGTACGAATGGTACAACGATATCACCACGACGGTACCGTCTGCTGTACGCGAGCTTTAAGCGAATTTTAACGGTGTTAATTGCAGTGCAACGAGTCGCGTTGTAAAATCACCTGCAAGCAAAAGGACCTCAACTGTTACATCATGGACAACAACGCCTATATAGTACTGAGCGACGAGCCCGAGTTCATAGGCAGGTACATGGGCGATATCAGGCCTGATATAATGGCGGATTTGATACAAGATAGGATCTACATACCCACCAAAATGTACGATTACCAAGCGATATGCCAGAAAGTACCGCCTAAAAAAGAACCGGAAACCGTCAGGATACAAAAGCGCAAGCAAAAGGAAGCCATGAAGAAGAAGAAGAAGAAGACCAAGAGATCAACCAGCTCCGCCAGGAGTTCCGCCGCGCGCGGAATCATACAAGTAATCGCACAATATAAACTTACCAATCTCTTACACAATTTTATTTACAGCTAGCGAACAACCTCCTGTGCATCAAAGATTGGCTGATCGGTCTGCTGGTGGTACTGAAGAACGCGGTAACGGGCGAAGAGGTGCAAGAGGTGTACAACAGCACCAGGGACGAGTACTTGGCGTTCAATAAATTGATGATCGAGAAAACCGTACCGACGCCGTGCGATCAATCGAGGTGGCTGTTCAATTTGAACAAAACCGCCCGGTTTCCGTTCAGCAATTACACCAAGGACGGGACCAAGTTCCAATGCAGCTGGTACGATTGTTCTCGCTCCTTTTCTAGCACATTCTTCCGTTGGTGTAGATAGTAAAGGAGCGAGAATTCTTGGTGAGCTATTATGATTGATTTGTATTATTTATAGGCCGTATGCTATCGATAAAATTCCGAATACTAATCTACTGTTTTTGGCTACGAACGATGGAGATGGGGCGTGCAGGGGAAGATCCCATCCCATTTACTCTACGGAGCCCAAAGAGATCATCTACAACACCACGTTGCCTTGCTATATAGCCACCATGAATAATTACACAAGAAGGATGTACATGAATTGCTACGAACGGAATAAAAAGGTACGAAATGCTCGAGTGAATTCTCTAAGTACTAAGTAAATCAATTAATGGTGAGTTTTTTTTTTGTATCTATCTTCAGGAGGACGACATAAACAAGTACGATCATTGGAAATGCGGACATTATTGGAAGTAATATGTTTCAATAAACTCGATAATCATTTCGCAATTGCATCAATTAGCAAATCGTTATATAATAAACTATTTAAAAAAAATTTATCTTCATAAGGTCAAGCTTACAAACTCTCAATGTAATTTTAAATATACGTATTATATATTTTCCAAAAATGAATATACCCATTATAACACTAATTCTGTGCGTTATTGGAGCAGATTCATACGAAAATAACACTCTATTAGCCGTAGCTGTGGTAAAGTATTGTCAATTTAATATCAATTAATTTATAATTCAATGGAAAATTGCTCGATAGATTTACAGGCATGGCGATCGATCGCCTTCCAAATCCTTCCCGAACGATGTCTATTTCAACGAAACTTACTGGCCAATGGGATTCGGACAATTAACCAAAGTAAGTACTAATCAAAATTAAATTTAAACACGTTAACTGCCACACGTTTAACATTCGAAATTCCGCTGTTTGTAATCGATTCACTACCATATATTCGTTGTTTTCGTAACTTTTCCAGTGAATTTTATCTTTTTCTTGAGCATTCTAAATGATTCCAGAGTGTTCTAAACGATTCTAGACAGTTCTAGATGACTCTGGAGCGTTCTAAATGATTCCAGAGTGTTCTAAAAGATTCTAGACAGTTCTAGATGACTCTGGAGCGTTCTAAATGATTCCAGAGTGTTCTAAATGATTCTAGACAGTTCTAGATAACTCTGGAGCGTTCTAAATGATTGCAGAGTGTTCTAAATGACTCCAGAGTGTTCTAGATAACTCTGGAGCATTATAAATGATTCCAGAGTGTTCTAAATGATTCTAGACAGTTCTAGATAACTCTGGAGCGTTCTAAATGATTGCAGAGTGTTCTAAATGACTCCAGAGTGTTCTAGATAACTCTGGAGCATTCTAAATGATTCCAGAGTGTTCTAAACGATTCTAGGCAGTTCTAGATGACTCTGGAGCGTTCTAAATAATCCGGAAATTATTTTTATGAGTGCAGGAAGGTATCGCAAGACAGTACGAACTGGGAAAATGGTTCCGGCGACGCTACAACGATTTCCTGAGCGACAATTACTCGCCGAACGAGATTTACATTCACTCCACGAATTCGGATAGAACTCTAATGTCTGCCTACGCCAATTTGGCGGGTCTGTATCCACCAGCGGGGTACCAAGTAAACAATACACCCTATTAAATTGATATATGTAAATTTAAATTGAATGGTTTTATACCAGGTATGGAGCGATCGGATTAACTGGCAACCGATTCCCGTGCATACCGAGGACAGGTCCAAGGACGACGTGATTACCGATAAAAGACGGTGCAGAGCTTTCGCGAAAGCTTACGGTCAAGCGAAAAAGAGCGCGAATAAGTTTTTTAGAGAGAGATACCGCAAATTGTACGGGTTTATAAAGGATAAAACGGGATGGAAGGACGTGACGTTGAGCGATGTTCGGATGTTACACAAGAATATTAAGATTTACAGGCAGTACAATCGGAGCTTCGTACCCGATTGGATAGACCACATCGATGCCAAGTCACTAGATTTCCTAGCAGGTAATTATAATTACCGATTAGATAATAATAAGTGAATTAACGCGGTTTTATAAGAGCAGGCTTGAAGTCTTACATTCCCGTATTGAAAACTCACCAAGCGCGTTTGCACATCGGGCCCTTCTTCCACCGGCTCTTCCAGCACTTCGATAATTTCGTCGGATTGACGAGCGAAACGCCCAAGTTTCTCATGTTCTCCGCTCACGATTCGACTTTGTGCGCCATCTTGGGCGCCATGAGGATGTTCAATTTCCGGCCCATCGGTTTCGGAGACGCTATAATGTGGGAATTGAGGCGAATTAACGGAGTGTTCGTGATGAACGTTGCGTATAAATCAGAGGAGGATACGCTGAGGCCGTTGTACATCAATGGATGCGAGTTTGGTTGCGATTACGAAACGTTTAAACGGAGTTTATCGGATGTTACTGTCAGTATTCAGCAATGGAAGGTTGAATGTAAAGATGTTGATTAGTTGAGAATTACTTACCAGTTTAATTATTAGATTTTTATAGGGAAATAAGCGAAAATTCATGTACAATTATTTCAAACTGCTGTCAAAAGTCTTCTTCTTTTTTGTTGAAACAGACTTTAACTACTCGGCTTATCGGCCACGTCACAAGTCAAAGACTTTTGCTTGACTCTTACCTAACAAGCATTCGGTTACCGTTAACGATAAATTCGAATTAGAGATTTTAAAAAATGATTAAACGCATTTTTCAACCTGTTTAATAATTATATACAAATAAGCATTACAATGTATATTAAAATAAAACGATTATAATTTAACATCAAAATCAGTCAAAGTCAGTTGTCAAACAGTCAAATCATTGTTGTAAGCCTAAAAAAATACATATTTCTACATAAATCGAATAGCTAAATGTTGAATAGAATACAAATATTTAAAATAAATCGATAAAACTCCACGGTTAGTCTGTTAAAAAATAATCATGTATTATATAAGGGGTGGGAAGTAGGGCGGTTTATTCAGAAACGCTCAACCATTATATGAATGTACTTCCTAAAAAAATCACAAGTTTATTTATTGCAACACCATTAATTTAATATCTCGTTAGCTAAATTATTCAAAGCGCAGATATTTCGCAGTAAATCACATACTGAGCGGTTTTTTTTTCAATAATTAAATCCTACTCGAACTACGGTTAAAATTCAGAAACTAATTTTCTGGCAGTATCTGTAATAATTTTTGCGAAAAATACCCAACGATTACACACTAACTCGCGTGTAATTCGTACATAGCAAGATATTTCTTTAAAGTAACAACATAAAAATACACTTACATCATCCTATTTAAATGAGCTTATTAGTCTTTAACACGACATTCAAATATTCTAGTATAGGAATTCGAAACAACTAAAATGCAATTACAATTCCAAATAAATCAAAAACAGGGCTTGCTAATAGAAAAACGAAACAGTAAAAAGTATGTAAAAAGAAACCGAAACAATCTTGTGACTAGTTCGAACGTAAAAACCTCTCGTTTGCCCTAATAAAAAAACTAATAATCGTGCTAAAATACACATTTAAAAAAAATACACAAAAAAAAACACCCTTACTTTCCTCCATCTAAGTCAACACCACCAGTTGCCCGGTATTGGTGGCGTAAATCAACCCCTGCCCCGACATCGGCAACCACCTGATGCAATTTATCCGACTGTCCCTGCTCTGCTCCAATTCCCTAATCACCGGCAACCGATCGCCCGGCTCCTCTTTCTGATGAATCTTGAATATCCTCGCCATTATCCATCTGTCGCTCGTCACTATCCTACTCGCCAAACCGACCACCAAATGTTGGCTGAGCGGCGACAGAGAAACGGACACCGCGTTCTGTTCGAACGACGTCGTGTACAGGCACTGTCCCAATGTGTCCCAACGCAAACTGTACACGCCTACAGAACATAATAAAATAGGTCAATGTTATGTTACTAATCATCGGCGGTTCATTTTCAATCGCTTAAAGAATCTGTTTAATTTGACAGGTGACAGATTTACATTGGTTGTTATGGAGTAACTAAGAGTGATACTTTCAATTGACAGTTTTACATTGGTTGTTATGGAGTAACTAAGAGAGATACTTTCAATTGACAGTTTTACATTGGTTGTTATGGAGTAACTAAGAGAGATACTTTCAATTGACAGTTTTACATTGGTTGTTATGGAGTAACTAGGTACATTAAACGATTGATTAGCGTTGAAAAGTAGCGCCGATGCGATTAAGCGATTAAGCGACGAACAAACGAGTCTAGTAAGCGACTTACCTAGATGACTAATCTTACCTAGACGATTAGTAACGTTCAAATAACCGCCGGAAGGGAGCAGAGTGACCAAAATCGTCCCGTCTTTGGCTATATCCACGCTGGCATCGTTGTGGATCTTACACTCGCCCACCACCAGATTTCTAGTAGCTAAAACAAACAAACCGTAAGCTAACAATTAGAGCGTGATGCTCTAACATACGACTGCCGATGTTCGGTACGCTCCAATCGCTGGCGTCCCAACATTGGATGCGATGATTGGGCGACACGGTGGTGATCATGTCGCTGTCGTAGATCTGCTCGCGCTGCGGATCGTCCAGATCGGCGTCGAACGGATTGACGCTCGAATAGAGCGGATGGAGAAACCGGGGGCGGAAGAGACCGCCGATCTGCGAGCTCGACCGAAGCGCCGAGACGCGCTCGGCGAATCGAGTGCGATTCATCCGCTGGAAGGGCGTCGGTTCGGTGACGGGCACGTCGTTGACTTGCACCGACGGCACGTTCCACGGTCTGGAATGGTTTTTATATACGATTAGTGTGTGTCGTGAAGCTAGCTAGGTTCGTTCGCGTACCTATATCTGGATTGCTGCGATGTCGAGGCCGATGCGGCGTTGGATTCCTGTTGTTCGGAGGTGATCGGCGAGAGGTTGATGTTGCTCGATCGATACAAGTTACTGCCGAACGTGTAATTGTCCGGTTCCTCTTCTTCGTCTTCGCTGTTCTCGTTGTTACTCGACGCGTCATTAACCGGTTCGCCTGCACAAATAATACCAATATTATAAACAATCGACGATTTGGTATAGAGGAGATTGGTTCGTACCGGCTAATCTGGCTCGTTCTCTGCTGTTGCGCGTCGATTCCTCGATGCTATTGGACAATTGCGATATCAAATTGAACACCGACGAGCACCATTCGGGATTGTTGCGAGCCGTCGGCGACGGGTTCTGAGTAATGTACGGATTCTGAGATATGTGCGTCATCTGCGGATGGTAGACGTTCGAAGAACTCGAAGACTCGGGCGCGTCCTGAGTCGATGAAGACGGCGCGGGCGGCGGAGGCGGAGGCGGTTGGGGTTGCGCTTGCGCTTGAGCCTGCGATTGAGATTGCTGAGCCGCCGCGTTGTTGGTATCGGCGCGTCGTTGATCCCTGATGATCCTCAGACATCTGTCGATGGTGCCGAGTAGAACGCGCCTGTCGTTGTCGCTGTTCGGTAGCGGTAAGAGGGTGCTCCGAGCGCGGTACGTTTGCCCCAAGGCGCTCTGCACGTAGCGCAGGTTGCTCGTCAATTGATTCGAATAGGTGCTCTGTCGAGTCGCCAACATTTGGCCGAAGATCCGGGCGATTCGAGACGTCAACGATGAGGATTCGCTCGCCAAATTCGCCATGTTAGCCGACGGTATCGAATCGACCACCACCAACAGCGCCAGCTCCGTTAGAAGCAGAGCCATAGCGAGCACCGTGCCCATATGAGATCTATACACAAAACGATTCGCAATTAATTTATTATATCTCGTTGGTTATTTATAAGATGCGACATAGGGATTCCTGTACAAATGTGTCCCTATGTCGCATCTACTAACACAGTGTATTTATACTCACCCCGGTGGTATAGGCAAATTATTTTCGACGTGTCTCGTCATACAATCGATGATCAAACTCAAAGTGTGCCTAGCGCTATAACGGGATATCCCATCGCGTGTAACAGTCGATAGAGGATCGCCTCTGTAGCTTCCTATCCAATTCGAACCCACGCTGTTACCTTTACAAAAAAAAAACGAACCGATAAAATCGTTACATCGACGCGATATCGATTACTAAACTCACCCAACATTCTGTTCATGCGCAACACGCACCCGTTCAACCTCAACGCCAGCACGTGCTCGCCCAAATCGTTGCTAAACGGCAATCTGTTATCCCTTCTGGTCTGCCCTTCCATGCAAACGGTACTCTTCCCTTCGACCAGCAACTGCTCCAATCGTCTCGTCATCAACGACAGCGTATTCGCGTTGATCACCGTGAGGAAATTGATGGTGTTCGGCGTCGAATCTCTACTACTCGATGGAGTTGATGAAGAAGAAGAGGCGGCGTCGGGCGTCGCGCCGCCGCCGCCCGACGTCGATCTGGAAGCGATACGATACCGCGACGACGATCTATCGGAGCGATTCGCGTAAGGTCGCAGGACGAAACGCCATACCGGCGTCCTGCGGAACTGTCTCACCAAGCTACACAACCAAACATACACAAGAGACGCCATTTTTTTTGTTGTTATTATTCGCTTTCGTGGCATTAGGTCAATTGCCCTTGTAGTACTGTCATTTATACGTTACTACTAGCGCGTAAAATTCGAAATATAACAATAATAAATTAGCAAAATTACAGTCCTGTAAGGGTGCATTGGTTGAAACAGACCGCGTTTGAAAATAATCCAAAAAAACAATCTTACCGGCACATCCTCGAAGGCGGGTAGGTCTTTCTACCGCCGCTCCTCTGTCTACTACTACTACTCGAACTCGTCCCTTCACCACCTCCATCTACTACATCCCTTCGCGCTGTTGCCGGTGCTACAGGCGTCTCTTCTGCGTCGGATTCGCGGGGGCTCGAATCGCTGATGCGCGTGCCCGCCATCATCTGTCTGACGCTCGACAAACCGGCGCCCGAAGTGCGCGAAGAACCGCCTTCGCTAGCAGGAGATGTTCCGCTGCTGCTCACGTATCGAGTGAGTTCGATGAGCATCCTGCGGATGAGCTGCAGCTGCTCGATCTCGAGCATCGCACGATCGATTCGTTCGATTTTATCCACCTGGAATCCGACGAATTAGACATGTATAATGAGCGTTTTAAAGGCTGTCCATTTTCGTTTAGACTAGTGGATATCGGACCGGCCGGCTGCGACGTTGCCGGGTTGTAATTGATATCTTTGATGTGACAGATATATTCGATTTGAGGTTATGTTTACAAATTTAAAAAACGTCTTAAATAGTTGAATTTAAACATGAAAAAGTAGATCAGGAGTAGATGTGAGCTTGCGGGCATCGATTTAACAGAACATTATGTGATTTTTTTACGATTAGGTCAATTATTCCAATAGTCTTCTTCCTCTAAACCGTCCCGTTCTCTATCAAAGTAGATCGAAAAACAAACCGAAAACCGCACGAAAAACTCTCTATAACGAACGGAAAACACAAAACCTACTCGTAAACTTGCACGAATTGCAAAAAAAAAAATGCGAAAAATCGCATAAAAAGTAGCGAAAAACAACAAATTGTAAAACATAACCTGTCAACATAAAAGAGCGGAATTTTAAGACTAAAGCAAGACAACATCGCTTCGGAAGTTCCAACCGCGCGCCGTAAAATTCCCCAAATCAAATGGTAGAATTAACATTGGCACTAGGGACATTTCGAACTGCGCGGAAATTACTAAAAAATTACCAAATAGTCTAACGAAAAATGGATATCCTATATAAATATAATATACTTGTTGCCGGAGCAGCCTGGCTTGTCTGCGTATGTGCATTATAGTGAGGAAAATGGTGGCCACGTTGGGGGTACCATTCTCGTTCAAATGCTGCGCGTGTTGGATGTCATCGGGGTTCCTCGGGTAGGTGTGATCGGCGGCGACGGCGTTGTAGTTGCTCAAATTATCGTTGAACAAATCGCCCAAATTGAGCAACTCCGAGTTGTTGGCGTCGGGCGATAGAGCGGGATTCTCCAATCTCGAGGAACTGGTCGATGGCTATTTTAAACGTTTTCAAGTATTAATTTATATCGAATCGTTGTGTTGATACTTACTTCGGATTCGTTTTGCCTTCCGGCTAGAGTGTTCGATTCCAGTATATCGATCGAAGACGCCGAGAAGTTCAAATTCCTCAATAGAACGTCGGATTGGTTCAGCACGCTCTCCAATCGCTCGGCGAAGTTACTCAATATGTTCGAAGTCTCCGAAGGTCGCGAATTCGCCTAAATAAAAATAAAACCATTATAATCAACACAAATTTAAGCACCCTCACCACTTACCCTCATCCTGGCCACGTTCTCCAAACTACCCTCCAATTCTCTGATGATATTCGAATACATATCGTTCACCGAAGTCTCCGAAGTCGCCGCGGCCGCCGGTTCGGGATGCTCCGGGTGTTCCGCGTCCGGCGGAGGCGGCGGCGGCGGATCGTCCTCCGAATTGTCCAATTCCGAGTAATTGAACAGCTCGTCGACGCCGAACGTCGAATTACCGTAAGGTCTAGAATCTAACAAAACACCATCGATTAACAAACACCAATCGAATACGATCGTATTACTTACGGTATCTGTTAGATGTTCTCCAGTAATGCGGCATCCTCCTGTGTCTAATATAATTCACTCTGGTAGGCATGAAAGCCGAGTATCTGTGTGAGAAGAATCTCCTTCTCGGAGCGTTCGTGTTCGAAGTATATATCGTAGAATTAGTAGTAGTCGTTGTAGTATTAACTACGGTAGAAGGCGGTTGGAAATTGGCGCTGTCTCCACCGCCGGCGGCCTCTTCCCTCGACGTTTGCGCGCCCCTATCGGTGCCGTTGTCCTCCGCCTCGGTCTCCGTATCGGCCTCGGTCAGGAAGGTCACCAGTCGCTCCAGTTCCGCGCAAGCGTTCGAACCGGAATTGTTCAAACGACCCGTCGGTCGAATGGCCGCGAAATCGTCGAATTGAAACGAACTACTCGTCGAATTGCTGTTGTCATCATCGTCCGAACTACTACTGTCCGATGTGGTATCGGCTGGATTCAAATTGCGCCTGTTGGTTTTGCGCAGCAAATTCGGATACATCTGGTGGAAGTTCATGTTGTTAAACAACCTACAAAAAAACGTTTGTATTAATACACCTTCGTATACGATTCGATCGGTTGGTACTACCTGTACAATTTCGGTCTATCGGTAGCCGGTAGTGATCGTATAATCGGCAAAATTCGATTCCTAACGCGCTCTTCCGCCGTTCTTTTTATATTAGTAAGCAACTCATCGACGGACACCTCGTTTCGACGACTAGCGCTCGATTCCTCTTCGGTTTCGGTGCTCTCCTGACGCCTCGAAGCGCCCGAATCGCGCCTCTGCAACCCGCTGGGCCCCGGCACCGCCTCCGCCTCCCTCTCGCCGGTACTTCTCACGCGGAAATCCGACGGTTCCGGCTTCGAATCCAACGGTACTACGATCCTCGGAGTGGGCGCGGATTGCTCGGTTTGCGTGGAATTCGTCCGGCCGTCGGTGGATCGCTTCGAGGACTTGGTTTTAGCCCCGTTCGACTTCTTAAATCGCTTCTCTTTGGGCTCGTCCGAGTCGTCGGATTTGTGTTTGCGCGATTCGGGCGTTTGCGTGCCGCGTATCAACGTGTTTTTTTTAATAACCGAGAATATCCGACTCGGGGTCAAGAGATTATAGGCGGATTTCGATGGGGATTGCGAGGAAGTGCTCGGTTCATTGCTCGGTTCATCTTCTACAGGCGATGCTCGGTTGGACGTTTGCGTACCGGAGGTACCGGGTAGACATTCGTCTAATACAACCTCGCTGGGCGGTTTCGGTTTCCTTTGTGAGGTTCCGCTGGGGCCCGGTTGCGGTTCGGTGGTTTGCGTACCGCTGTTGTTGAACGATTGGTCTTGCTCCATGGGATCGGTGCCTCGATCGATCTGTTAGATAGTTAATTAATCGATGATTTCGAGTGTAAAATCGCGTCGTATTTACCATAGTAGGCGACCGGTACAATTGCAAATATCTATCGACCAATTGCTCGTATTCCCTCACCAACGTCCTGTAGCACATCGATATGCGTTGCTCTCGTTCGGGGAAGCTCAACAGCGAGTCTATCAACAGCGTCGTGTTGTAGTTGGTGTTGTTCGAACTAGACGAAGGTAGCTAAAATGATATTGATTTAGTAACGTATTTATTAGAATGTTAATCGATCGTACGGGCGTCGGTTGATTGTTCGTTAACCTCTGAGTGATCCTTCTTCTATAAGGACTAGCGCACCATTCCTGTCTCGGAGCGCTGACCTTCTCCCATCTGGTCGTTGGACAATTCGCTATACCGGTTATCAATTTGTGGCCTAACGTATCGAATGCAACGTATCGAACCTTCGAAACAAAAACAAAATTAACACACAAGCGATAAACTCCCTCTAAAATCACCTTTTCTTTGACATTATAAGTGGCTGCGCTAACGAAAGGTTCAGGCTTGCTCCAATCCCAAAAGTAGATGCAATTCGACGTAGCGATGGCTAGGACTCGATCGTTGGGGTGGAAAGCCAACGAGGCGATTACTGTTTGATGTACGGCAGTCCAAACTTCGCTACCGCCCTGTATAATAATAAACAATTTATAACTACAAATAATTAATTGTAGAGTGTAAACGTACGCTCAAATCCCATATGCGTACTTGTCCGCCCAAACAGCCCGATGCGATGATTTGATCAGAAGTGGGATGGAAGGCGATGCACCAGGGCGTTCGTGGATGCCCAACGAGCGTTTTGATGTTTTTACCCGTTCGCAAATCCGTTATGTATATGTTGTGGTTACCGTGGGTCGAGGCCACTCTGGACCCGTCCGGGCTGAATACCATCAGGAAAGTGCTCCTGGGCATTCCGGGCATCTCGCAGCGCTGTTCGAAACAAACAGAAATCGAATTATAATTCGTCATCTGTCGGGAATAAATCAATACTTACCAATTCCTTGTAGTCCGTCTTCCTGATGAACTCCTCCTCGGCGAAGAGCTCGATGCTCTCACGGGATTTGGCGTTTTTCTTGGAGAATCCGAAGCTCCGGTCCTCGAGGCCCCTGAACAGGTCCTGGGCCGCATTGCTGATGTGCTCCCTCCTGAACTGGTGTAACAAGTCGAAATCGTCCTTACTCATCGTCGCGTTTAGATGCTGTTTAGCGGTTCGTTGGATTCGAAGCGGAAAACGGGCGATTGATCATTATTGGAAAATCGTAGAGTAGACAATTATCGCTCGACGGGGTTGGGCATACTTTTTTGGCGTTTGGATTTAATCGCAACGTGGTACGCGCTTGTTAGGGAGATTCGCTGATGATTATCGAACGAAAATATCGCTAATTAACGCACGGTTTATTCGCGTAACACGTAGGATTAATACGGTTTCTTTTTTACTTTTTCTTTTTGCTCTTTTTCTTTTATGATTATCAAAGCCGAGACCTTGAAACATCTGATTGACACTAATGACAGTTGGCAGTTGTCAAAAATATGTTGATCGCTTAAGTATAGGTAAGAATTCACATTGTTGCCACATTTACGCTCTAGAAAAAAAGAAGAAGAAATAAAATTTAGAAACAAATACAAGTTTCTTTTCGAAAATTTGTGTAATTTAGAGTGCTAGTGATAATATCTTACCATAAAATTTAACTCCCATTAGGTAAAGTGCAATTTCCTATAATACTGCAATATAGGCAACACATTATACATCCTTAAAAAACGCATTTATTTTATTGTCTACGACCTTTCAAAACGTACTAACCTTACGACCGTTGCATTCAACACGAAAAAAAAAACCGGTAAATCCATGTGGGTATTGAGTAAGAAAAGACAAAAAAAAAGAAAACTATAAAGACATCCATCCACCTGTACCCGCATCTCAAAGAATCCGGCAACCTGCTGAATTCGATAATTATTTTAACAGGTTTACATTACAATACAAATCGTTTACAACAGAAAATACCGAACGTTCTTATACAGGGCGAGATCGCATAATTACCTAACCATCCACCCTGTATAACTAGGTTGCGGTAACCTAAATTGGGGATGATTGATGGGGTTTCGTGAGAATTATTTCGATTTATCGCATTCGACTGTTCTGGCGCAAAGTTTAGTAACCCGGGGGGGATCGAGTTCTACTTAGATCTCGATGGGAGTCAGAGGTCAGGCACGCAACTCCGTGGGTCAATTGACCGAGAGCCCCCCAAAGACAAACCGCCTAAACGCCCGGCAATTTCCTCGTTTTCTAGATCGCAAAAATGCCTGAAATGCGGCTCGCACTTGTCGATATATTATTCCCTCGGTGGTACCAACAAAGGTAAAAAGTACCTCGTACCTCGCACCTTCCTACAATGCTTCGCTTTGTTTGGTCGAGAATGGAATTTTAAAAATGTCACCTAGTTATTTCGCACTAAAAACAGTGGCGTACACAAAAAATTTGCAATCATATCTTCTTCTAAGAGTACACACAATCACAAAATAACACTCGCTAAAAGCTTGTTGTGTTTAGAGTATTATAACCGGCAGGTTAATTAGTTAACGTTAGGTTAAATGCGGGGTTTAACGGGGTGATATTCGGTGCACATGCCGCGCTAGTGTTGTGAGTTTGTTATGTCATTTTCGGAAATTTCTCGCACCTTTTGTAAAGGCGAACAAAAACGTTTTAATCTACCACTCGAAGTCCTTTTGAATGTGGCGTAAAAATCCGTCACGGTTCCCTTGCCGTTTCAGTTCATTCATCGCGTTTGCGAAAAGAGACGAGAATGAAGCGAAGATAGAAGAAAAGAACGCTTTATCGCCTCCTTTTTGTCCGCCGTAAATAAATCTTGTCTAGCGTGAAAAGGGTAGGTAATTGAAGGAAAAAGGTCCTTTTGCGATACTATCCACTTTTGCCAAATATCACTTATATGCTTCGCTCATATTATATTCCCCGTGACGTCACAACTACTTTAACTTCGCCGTGCTATATGCTAGCTTCATTCAATTACTCTGTTATGACGTCACGACGGCTTATTATTTTACATACTGTAAGTTAGATGATTAATATTCGAAATATAGGGGCAGGTATATTAATTCCATTTAGAAATTAGAAATGCCTTTAGATGTTCGCGATACGGCGCTCGTGCGGAAACGCGTCGGCACTTCCGGTTTTCCGTTGACGCGTGTCGGCCATATTGCTCGTGTCATCATCGAAGTGTGCCTTGGTAATTGCGTTTTTCCTAACGCAAGGAAACAGGTGCGCGAAAACGCGACTCTATGAGGGTTGAATTCGTATTAGTTTTAATTGTTTTCGGTGCGTAATTCGTTATTAGGAAAGTGTATATTGAAAATTTCCCGATTTTCTGTGAACGTGCGTCAATTCGAACAGGTGTCAACTGTCAAACACTTCCAGGTAGATGGATGAAAGTAAGAACGATTTTCTTGGAATTTTTTTGCAGGACCGTATTATAATTACATCTCAAAACGAGCCTATTGTATACAACGAAAATCCCTCAACACACTTCCTTCAAATCTGGCCTTTTACTCTATTACACAACAATTACCTACTATTTCCCTATATGCATTAAATTAGTTAGTAAACTAGTACTAATTACATTAAATTTAGCTACGTAATTAGGAGTATAAGCATCCCGATAGGTCTGTTACTGTGCTGGATATGCAGCACCATATTTACCCATAGAGCAGGTATAATTTCGTTGGTGTTACCGACCTGTTTTACGGTCCAAAAAGTCCATCCTAATAGGTAAAACAATAAAGTCCCGGAATGACCGTATTATTGATATCCATCATCAGTCATCAAAAGGGCCGAAACAACAGTTGTGCGACGAAATTAGACCACAGATGGCACGGCGTGCGCGTAACGCACGACGAATCGGCCCCATTGGTGTAGATTTCATCGGCGAACAATTCGATTTTTTCATCGATTACTCCGCTAGAATCGATTCGGCGTTGCGCACGTCACGACTGTCAAAGCGATTGTCGATATGTCAACGTCAAATTCGGTGGAAACGCGCGAGAAAATCGTCGCGATTTCGATTCGACGGGTACCCCACTGGACGCTAATCTTCCTTTTTTCTAAAAATAATAAATTAGCCCCGCCAATTATAAGGGCGCTTAATTAAATGATGGGGCCATAAATACCCCGGCAGTCGTATCGCTTTTTAATGAACATTATGGGTCCGGAGCCGCACGACAAATAACATGTGTTCGATAGACAACAAAAAAAAAATTAAACGCAAACGACCTGATGCCCCATCAGGTAGATATTTTTTCGGATTTCGTTTTCGAAAAAAGAATCGCCAATTTAGTAAATATAGTGCAATTCTACGAGAAATATCCGCTAAATAACATTTCTGGCTATTTATTGTAACTCACTCGTAGCTTTTGACTATACGAGGGAGGCACGAAAAGTTCTTATCTATTTATTGTAAGTCCCCAAAAATCGTATGCTCGAGAAATTAGTGTGTTAAGCACTACGGGATATCTCGAAAAGTAAGCGATTTTCGAAAAAAATTTGTTCTGTGAAAGTTGTAGAAGGAGGGTTTTTGGATAGAGTGAAACGAGTCGGGTGGTTTTATCTTGATTAGTTATCGAGATAATCGCGATTTTTCATCGAGTTGCACTGAATTTGGTAATTTCGTCAATACTTACGAAAACACAAAATATCTCAAAAACAACGCAATTTTCGAAAATTTGTCATTCTTCAAAAATCATAGAGAAACCTTTTTTCTATAAGCTAAAGCAAATCAGACGTTTCTACCTCAAATAATTATTGCAATAATTGCTAATTTCCAACAGGTGTTAGTAATTAAAATTACTAATAACAATAAAATCCTAACAAAAACTCAAAATATCCGTATTTCTAGTAAGTCCCTCGTATTTCTAGTTGACAACTACGAGGGAGGTACGACAAATTCTTATAGTCAATCGACAATTAACTATGTATAGATACGATGGAGATACGATAAGTTCTCGTATAAGTTAATTGAAATCGGAACGCTGATTCGTATATTATTTATATTTTCTTTATACGCGGGTACAGGTCAAACGCGTATTAGTCAAAGATACTTTCCCGCGCATTAAGGAAAGGATTTTTAACGAGCCGCAAAAGGCGATATCAACCTACGAACGGTGTGCTTTCTTGTTTTAAAAGTACTTTTAAGTATTTAATAGGTCGACGTGTATAAACAACTAAAATAGGCTCGAAGTGTCGCCTTTTCGATTCTAAAACACAATGCGCTAATGCATATATACAATATCAAGCGGATTTTTTATTCCTAATTAATCATAGATGGCGTATCGCTCATATACAGGGCGATTCGTTAGATAATTGATGAGGATATTTTAAAATTTTTAACGCAGGATTCCGCTAAATTATTCGAACCCCCCTGTAAGTTTGTATGAATATACAGGTAAGTGCAAATTTGTTTGCAACACGAGTCGAACAAAGAAAGATTATATTAAACAACAGTTGTTAGAGCGAGAAAGTTGCAATCAACCCATCAAATATCACCCTTTCTTTTTCCTTTACATGTTAACTAATGGAAGTGGTCTTTGTTGCGCCCATATTGCTCATACGAATTTGCACTTAACTGTATAATATCCTCGTGCTGGTATAAACGAGAGAGAGATAATCCATTTCGTTTTTGATCCATTAGACCACCTGCAGAGGATTACATAAAATGTAGTAGGTGCAACGGCGACAGATAAATAGATTTTTCTTTCTAAATCCATTCGTCGAAACGTCGAAATCTAATTACCTATCAGTAGATGGAAGATAAGCGAAAAGAAAATGGACAAAAAAAATATACACTTTATTACCAGTCTCGAGGTGTCGAAATTTTTTATTATCTGCCGCATTTGTCCTGATGTAGTTAACATAGCATCGTAATTCGTTATTTATTGGGGGGTTACAAAAATGAAAATATACAGGGAAACAGCTAACATACAGGGTGTCCCACAGAAGAACCAACATAGAGCACAGGGGATGAGTTAAAGTGTCGGTTCTTACTCGGGACACTCTCTATATATCCAGCAGGTATCCGAGTTAATTTTCGAAATGAAATTTATTAGCATTACAATGTCCATTGTTGTTAACTGTTCTGTCATCTGTTGAACGGGGGGTGGTTCGTTGGATTGCCGAATTGCGCCCCCTGATCCCTATATTATCACAAAAATCGATTATTATCGGTAATTAATATAAAGCGAGAACGAGGTAATGAGGCGAGCATGACTGTGTAGAAAATAAATCGCAACATATGTTGTATCTATTATACTCAAAAAAAACTTATCCCCGATATCTACAGGTTACTCTAAAATGCTTCGAATTGCTGCACCTTGTATATGCGTATTAAAAACGAATCGGTTTATTAGATCGAGTGGATCTTCAAGTAGCGGAAAAGGAACCTTTGGAGCGTACCCACAAAGGTAATGAAATAGACGGTACGACACTAGGGCGCGGTAA